CCCAGTGTGGCAATCGTTGGCGACGTCTTCCCACCCATCGATGTGCATCTTCAAACTTCTCTTTCTCCTCTTTTTCCAGCCCTCGGTGTCCTATCGCCTTCCCAGTGTGAGCAATCAACGTTGGCGACGTCTTCCCACCCATCGATGTGCATCTTCAAACTTCTCTTTCTCTCTTCTCTCTTTCCCTCTTTCTTTTCCAGCCCTCGTTGTCAATCACCTTCCCAGTGTGAGCAATCGTTGGCGACGTCTTCCCACCTATCGATGTGCATCTTCAAACTTCTCTTTCTCCTCTCCTTTTTTTCCAGCCCTCTCGAAGTCAATCTTTCCCAGTGTGAGCAATCGTTGGCGACGTCTTCCCACCCATCGATGTGCATCTTCAAACTTCGCTTTCTCCTCTCCTTTTTCCAGCCCTCGGTGTCTATCGCCTTCCCAGTGTGAGCAATCGTTGGCGACGTCTTCCCACCTATCGATGTGCATCTTCAAACTTCTCTTTCTCCTCTCCTTTTTCCAGCCCTCGGTGTCAATCGTCTTCCCAGTTTGAGCAATCGTTGGCAACGTCTTCTCACTATCGATGTGCATCTTCAAACTTCTCTTTCTCCTCTCCTTTTTCCAGTCCTCGTTGTCAATCACCTTCCCAGTGTGAGCAATCGTTGGCGACGTCTTCCCACCTATCGATGTGCATCTTCAAACTTCTCTTTCTCCTCTCCTTTTTCCAGCCCTCGGTGTCAATCGCCTTCCCAGTGTGAGCAATCGTTGGCGACGTCTTCCCACCTATCGATGTGCATCTTCGAACTTCTCTTTCTCTCCTTTTTCCAGCCCTCGGTTTCAATCGCCTTCCCAGTGTGAGCAATCATTGTCTTCCCACCTATCGATGTGCATCTTCAAACTTCTTTTCCATTTTTTCCAGCCCTCACAATCGTCTTCCCAGTGTGAGCAATCGTTGGCGACGTCTTCTCCCCCCATCGATGTGCATCTTCAAACTTCTCTTTCTCTCTCCTTTTTTCCAGCCCTCGTTGTCAATCGCCTTCCCAGTGTGAGCAATCGTTGGCGACGTCTTCCCACCTATCGATGTGCATCTTCTAACTTCTCTTTCTCCTCTCCTTTTTCCAGCCCTCGGTGTCTATCGCCTTCCCAGTGTGAGCAATCGTTGGCGACGCCTTCCCACCTATCGATGTGCATCTTCATACTTCTCTTTCTCCTCTCCTTTTCCAGCCCTCGGTGTCAATCGCCTTCCCTGTGTGAGCAATCGTTGGCGACGTCTTCCCACCCATCGATGTGCATCTTCAAACTTCTTTTCTCCTCTCCTTTTTCCAGCCCTCTTGTCTTTCCCAGTGTGAGCAATCGTTGGCGACGCTTCCCACCTCGATGTGTCTTCGAAACTTCTCTTTCTTCTCCCTTTTTCCAGCCCTCGGTGTCAATCAATTCCCAGTGTGAGCAATCGTTGGCGACGTCTTCCCACCTATCGATGTGCATCTTCAAACTTCTCTTTCTCCTCTCCTTTTCCAGGCCTCGGTGTCAATCCCCCTTCCCAGTGTGAGCAATCGTTGGCGACGTCTTCCCCCTATCGATGTGCATCTTCAAACTTCTCTTTTCTCCTCTTTTTTCCAGCCCTCGGTGTCAATCGCCTTCCCAGTGTGAGCAATCGTTGGCGACGTCTTCCCACCTATCGATGTGCATCTTCAAACTTCTTCTCCTTCCTTTCCAGGCTCCTTTTTCCCAGTTTGAGCCAGTCCCCGATGTGTCAATCATTCCTTTCCCAGTGTGTCAGCAATCGTTGGCGACGTCTTCCCACCTATCGATGTGCATCTTCAAACTTCTCTTTCTCCTCTCCTTTTTCCAGCCCTCGGTGTCAATCGCCTTCCCAGTGTGAGCAATCGTTGGCGACGTCTTCCCACCTATCGATGTGCATCTTCAAACTTCTCTTTCTCCTCTCCTTTTTCCAGCCCTCGGTGTCAATCACCTTCCCAGTGTGAGCAATCGTTGGCGACGTCTTCCCACCTATCGATGTGCATCTTCAAACTTCTCTTTCTCCTCTCCTTTTTCCAGCCCTCGGTGTCAATCGCCTTCCCAGTGTGAGCAATCGTTGGCGACGTCTTCCCACCTATCGATGTGCATCTTCAAACTTCTCTTTCTCCTCTCCTTTTCCAGCCCTCGGTGTCTATCGCCTTCCAGTGTGAGCAATCGTTGGCGACGTCTTCCCACCTATCGATGTGCATCTTCAAACTTCTTTTCTCCTCTCCTTTTTCAGCCCTCGGTGTCAATCACCTTCCCAGTGTGAGCAATCGTTGGCGACGTCTTCCCACCTATCGATGTGCATCTTCAAACTTCTCTTTCTCCTCTCCTTTTTCCAGCCCTCGTTGTCAATCACCTTCCCAGTGTGAGCAATCGTTGGCGACGTCTTCCCACCCATCGATGTGCATCTTCAAACTTCTCTTTCCTCTCCTTTTTCCAGCCCTCGTTGTCAATCGTCTTCCCAGTTTGAGCAATCGTTGGCGACGTCTTCCCACCCATCGATATGCATCTTCAAACTTCTCTTTCTCCTCTCCTTTTCCAGCCTCGGTGTCAATCGCCTTCCCAGTGTGAGCAATCGTTGGCGACGTCTTCCCACCTATCGATGTGCATCTTCAAACTTCTCTTTCTCCTCTCCTTTTTTTCAGCCCTTGGTGTCAATCGCCTTCCCAGTGTGAGCAATCGTTGGCTACGTCTTCCCACCTATCGATGTGCATCTTCAAACTTCTCTTTCTCCTCTCCTTTTTCCAGCCCTCGGTGTCAATCGCCTTCCCAGTGTGAGCAATCGTTGGCGACGTCTTCCCACCTATCGATGTGCATCTTCAAACTTCTCTTTCTCCTCTCCTTTTTCCAGCCCTCGTTGTCAATCTCCTTCCCAGTATGAGCAATCGTTGGCGACGTTTTCCCACCTATCGATGTGCATCTTCAAACTCCTCTCCTTTTTTCCAGCCCTCCTTTTTCCAGCCCTTGGCGACGTCTTCAATCGCCTTCCCAGTGTGAGCAATCGTTCCCAGTTTGACGTCTTCCCACCCATCGATGTGCATCTTCAAACTTCTCTTTCTCCTCTCCTTTTCCAGCCCTCGGTGTCAATCGCCTTCCCAGTTTGAGCAATCGTTGGCGACGTCTTCCCACCCATCGATGTGCATCTTCAAACTTCTTTCTCCTCTCCTTTTCCAGGCCTCGGTGTCAATCACCTTTAGTGTGAGCAATCGTTGGCGACGTCTTCCCACCCTATCGATGTGCATCTTCAAACTTCTCTTTCTCCTCTCCTTTTCCAGCCCTCGGTGTCTATCGCCTTCCCGTTTGAGCAATCGTTGGCGACGTCTTCCCACCTATCGATGTGCATCTTCAAACTTCTCTTTCTCCTCCTTTTTCCAGCCCTCGGTGTCAATCGCCTTCCCAGTGTGAGCAATCGTTGGCTTCGAACTTCTTCCCTCCACTTTTTTCCATCGATCCATTGCATCTTCCAGTCTTCAAACGTCTTCCCACCCTATCGATGTGCATCTTCAAACTCCTCTTTCTCCTTTCCAGCCCTCGGTGTCAATCGCCTTCCCAGTGTGAGCAATCGTTGGCGACGTCTTCACACCTAACGTTGTGCATCTTCAAACTTCTCTTTCTCCTCTCCTTTTTCCTGCCCTCGTTGTCAATCACCTTCCCAGTGTGAGCAATCGTTGGCGACGTCTTCCCACCTATCGATGTGCATCTTCAAACTTCTCTTTCTCTCTCCTTTTCCAGTCTCGGTGTCTATCGCCTTCCCAGTGTGAGCAATCGTTGGCGACGTCTTCCCACCTATCGATGTGCATCTTCAAACTTCTCTTTCTCCTCTCCTTTTTTTCCAGCCTCCGGTGTCAATCGCCTTCCCAGTGTGAGCAATCGTTGGCGCATGCCTTCCACCTATCGATGTGCATCTTCAAACTTCTTTTCTCCTCTCCTTTTTCCAGTCCTCGGTGTCAATCACCTTCCCAGTGTGAGCAATCGTTGGCGACGCCTTCCCACCTATCGATGTGCATCTTCAAACTTCTCTTTCTCCTCTCCTTTTCCAGGCTCGTTGTCAATCGCCACCCAGTGTGAGCAATCGTTGTCGACGTCTTCCCACCTATCGATGTGCATCTTCAAACTTCTCTTTCTCCTCTCCTTTTCCAGCCCTCGGTGTCAATCAATCACCTTCCCCTAGTGTGAGCTTCAATCGTTGGCGATCAATCGTCTTCATTTGACCACCTATCGATGTGCATCTTCAAACTTCTCTTTCTCCTCTTCCTTTTCCAGCAGTCCTCGGTGTCAATCGCCTTCCCAGTGTCAGCAATCGTTGGCGACGTCTTCCCACCCTATCGATGTGCATCTTCAAACTTCTCTTTCTCCTCTCCTTTTTCCAGCCTCGGTGTCAATCGTCTTCCCAGTGTGAGCAATCGTTGGCGACGTCTTCCCACCTATCGATGTGCATCTTCAAACTTCTCTTTCTCCTCTCTTTTTTCCAGTCCCTCGGTCAATCACCTTCCCAGTGTGAGCAATCGTTGGCGACGTCTTCCCACCTATCGATGTGCATCTTCAAACTTCTTTTTCAAATCTTTCCAGGCTCGGTGTCAATCTTCCCAGTCTGAGCAATCGTTGGCGACGTCTTCCATCTATCGTGCATCTTCAAACTTCTCTCTCCTCTTCAACCTCGGTGTCTATCGCCTTTCCCAGTGTGAGCATTCGTTGGCGACGTCTTCCCACCTATCGATGTGCATCTTCAAACTTCTTTTCTCCTCTCTTTTCCAGGCTTTCAATCAGCCCCTCACGATGTCATCTTCCGAACTTCGCCTGTCCCACCCAGTGTGAGCAATCGTTGTCGACGTCTTCCACCTATCGATGTGCATCTTCAAACTTCTTTTCTCCTATCCTTTTTTCCAGCCCTCGGTGTCAATCACCTTCCCAGTATGAGCAATCGTTGGCGACGTCTTCCCACCTATCGATGCATCTTCAAAAACTTCTTTCTCCTCTCCTTTTTCCAGCCCACCCGAACATCGTTGTCGACGTCTTCCCACCCTCAATCCCTTTCCCAGTCGTGAGCAATTCCCAGTCTATGATGATCGTCTTCCTACCTATCGATGTGCATCTTTCAAACTTCTCTTTTCCTCTCCTTTTTCCAGGCCTCGGTGTCTATCGCCTTCCAGTGTGAGTAATCGTTGGCGACGTCTTCCCACCTATCGATGTGCATCTTCAAACTTCTTTCTCCTCTTCTTTTTCCAGGCTCAGTGTCAATCGCCTCCCAGTCTAGCAATCGTTGGCGACATCTTCCCACCTATCGATGCAATCTTCAAACTTCTCTTTCCCTCCTTTTCCAGCCGTCTCAGTGTCAAATCCTTCCCAGTGTGGAGCATTCGTTGGCGACGTCTGCCCCACCTATCGATGTGCATCTTCAAACTTCTCTTTCTCCTTTTCCTTTTTCCAGGCTCGGTGTCAATCGCCTTCCCAGTGAGCAATCGTTGGCGACGTCTTCCCCACCCATCGATGTGCATCTTCAAACTTCTTTTCTCCAGCCCTCCTTTTTTCCAGCCCTTAACGGTGTCAAACTCGCTTTCCCAGTGTGAGCAATCCCAGTTGGCGACGTTTTCCCACCTATCGATGTGCATCTTCAAACTTCTCTTTTCTCCCTCTCTTTTTCCAGGCCTCGGTGTCTATCGTCTTCCCAGTGTGAGCAATCGTTGGCGACATCTTCAACTTCTTTTGTTTTTCCAGTGCATCTTCATACTTCTCTTTCTCCAAACTCCTTTTTTCCCAGCCCTCGGTGTCAATCTTTCCCAGTGTGAGCAATCGTTGGCGACGTCAACGTCTTTCTATCGATGTGCATCTTCAAACTTCTCTTTCTCCTCTCCATTTCCAGCCCTCGTTGTCAATTGCCTTCCCCAGTATGAGCAATCGTTGGCGACGTTTTCCCACCCTATCGATGTGCATCTTCAAACTTTTCTTTCTCCTCTCCTTTTTCCAGCCCTCGGTGTCAATCGCCTTCCCAGTGTGGAGCAATCGTTTGGCGACGTCTTCCCACCTGTCGATGTGCATCTTCAAACTTCTCTTTCTCCTCTCCTTTTTCCAGCCCTCGTTTTCTATCGCTTTCCCAGTGAGCAATCGTTGGCGACGTCTTCCCACCCATCGATGTGCATCTTCAAACTTTTTTCTCCTCTCCTTTTCCAGCCGTCGGTGTCTATCGCCTTCCAACCCAGTGAGCAATCGTTGGCGACGTCTTCCACCCATCAATGTGCATCTTCAAAATTCTCTTTCTCCTCTCCTTTTTCCAGCCCTCGGTGTCAATCGCCTTCCCAGTGTGAGCAATCGTTGGCGACGTCTTCCCACTATCGATGTGCATCTTCAAACTTCTCTTTCTCCTCTCCTTTTCCAGCCCTCGGTGTCAATCGCCACCCAGTGTGAGCAATCGTTGTCGACGTCTTCCCACCCCATCGATGTGCATCTTCAAACTTCTCTTTCTCCTCTCCTTTTCCAGCCCTCGGTGTCAATCGTCTTCCCAGTGTGAGCAATCGTTGGCGACGTCTTCCCCACCCTATCGATGTGCATCTTCAAACTTTTCTTTCTCCTCTCCTTTTCCAGGCTGCGGTGTCGGTACCTTTTTTGGCGACGTCTTCTCCCCACCCATCGATGTGTCTTCAAACTCGCCTCTCCCCAGGTCTGTTTTTCAATCGAGCAATCGTTGGCGACGTCTTCCCACCTTTCGATGTGCATCTTCAAACTTCACTTTCTCCTTCTTTTTTTCCAGGCCTCGGTGTCAATCGTCTTCCCAGTTTGAGCAATTGTTGCGACGTCTTCTCACTATCGATGTCGATCTTCTCTCCTCTTTCTTTCCCTTTTTCGGTAAATAATCAATTTCCCAGTGTCAGCAATCGTTGGCATCTTCTCACCTATCGTGTGCTTCTTCAAACTTCTCTTCTCCCTTTTTTTCCAGGCCTCGGTGTCAATCGCCTTCCCAGTGTGAGCAATCGTTGGCGACGTCTACCCACCCATCGATGTGCATCTTCAAACTTCTTTTCTCCTCTCCATTTTCCAGGCTCGGTGTCAATCGCCTTTCCCAGTGTGACGCAATCGTTGGCGACGTCTTTCCCACCTATCGATGTGCATCTTCAAGCTTCTCTTTCTCCTCTCCTTTTTCCAGCCCTCGGTGTCAATCCCTTCCCAGTGCTGAGCAATCGTTGGCGACGTCTTCCCACCCATCGATGTGCATCTTCAAACTTCTCCTTCTCCTCTCCTTTTCCAGGCCTCGGTGTCAATCACCTTCCAGTGAGCAATCGTTGGCGACGTCTTCCCACCCATCGATGTATCTTTCAAACTTCTCTTTCTCTCCTTTTCCAGCCCCTCGGTGTCTATCGCCTTCCCAGTGTGAGCAATCGTTGGCGACGTTCTTCCCACCTATCGATGCTGTGCATCTTCAAACTTCCTCTTTCTCCTCTCCTTTTTCCAGGCCTCGGTGTCTATCCGCCTTCCCAGTGTGAGCAATCGTTGGCGACGTCTTCCCACCTATCGATGTGCATCTTCAAACTTCTCTTTTCTCCTCTCCTTTTTCCAGGCTCGTTGTCAATCACTTTCCCAGTTGAGCAATCGTTGGCGACGTCTTTCCACCTATCGATGTGCATCTTCAAACTTCTTTTCTCCTCTCCCTTTTTCCAGCCCTCGGTGTCCGCCACCCAGTGTGAGCAATCGTTGTCGACGTTTCCACCTATCGATGTGCATCTTCAAACTTCTCTTTCTCCTCCTTTTTCCAGCCCCCGGTGTCAATCACCTTCCCAGTGCCCAATCGTTGGCGACGTCTTCCCCCCATACAACCAGTGTGCATCTTCAAACTTCTCTTTCTCCTCTCCTTTTTCCAGGCTCAGTGTCAATCGCCTTCCCAGTGTTGAGCAATCGTTGGCGACGTCTTCCCCATCGATGTGCATCTTCAAACTTCTCTTTCTCCTCTCCTTTTTTCCAGCCTCGGTGTCAATCGCCTTCCTAGTTTGAGCAATCTTTGGCGACGTCTTTCCAGCCCTTGGTCCAATCTTTCCCAGTGGGCAACTTCTCTTTCTCCTCTCTTTGCATCTTCAAACTCTCCCTCGGTTTTTTCCAGCCCCCGTTCAATCGTCTTCCCAGTGTGAGCAATCGTTGGCGACGTCTTCCCACCCATCGATGTGCATCTTCAAACTTTTTCTTTCTCCTCTCCTTTTTCCAGCCCTCGGTGTCTATCGCCTTCCCAGTGTGAGCAATCGTTGGCGACGTCTTCTCACCATTCAATGTGCATCTTCACAATTTTCTTTCTCCTCTCCTTTTTCCAGCCCTCGGTGTCAATCGCCTTCACAGTGTGAGCAATCGTTGGCGACGTCTTCCCACCATCGATGCATCTTCAAACTTCTCTTTCTCCTCTTCCAGACCTTTCCCAATCCTCGATGTCTCAATCGATGCATCTTCAAACTTCTGCAGTCCTCGGTGTTCATGCCCCCAGTGTGAGCAATCGTTGGCGACGTCTTCCCACCTATCGATGTGCATCTTCAAACTTCGATTTTCAACTCCTTTTCCAGCCCTCGGTGTCAATCGCCTTCCAATGTGAGCAATCGTTGGCGACAAACTCTTCCCCTCTGCTTTTTCCAGTTCTATCGATGTGCATCTTCAAATGTGCATCTTCAAACTTTCTCCTCTCCTTTTTTTCCAGGCTCGGTGTCAATCGCCTTCCAGTGTGAGTAATCGTTGTCGACGTCTTCCCACCTATCGATGTGCATCTTCAACTTCTCTTCTCCTCCTTTTTCCAGCCCTCGGTGTCAATCACCTCCCAGTGTGAGCAATCATTGTCGACGTCTTCCCACCTATCGATGTGCATCTTCAAACTTCTCTTTCTCTATCTCTTTTCCAGGCTCGGTGTCAATCTCCTTCCCCAGTGTGAGCAATCGTTGTCGACGTTTCCCACCTATCGATGTGCATCTTCAAACTTCTCTTTCTCCTCTCCTTTTCCCAGCCTCGGTGTCAATACCTTCCCAGTGTGAGCAATCGTTGACACCTATCGATGTGCATCTTCAAACCTTTTCTCCCTCCTTTTTCCAGCCCTCAGTGTCGAGTGTGAGCAATCTTTGATGACGTTCCCACCTATCGATGTATCTTCAAACTTCTTTTCTCCTCTTTTTCCAGGCCTCGGTGTCTATCGCCTTCCCAGTGTGAGCAATCGTTGGCGACGTCTTCCCACCTATCGATGTGCATCTTAAACTTCTCTTTCTCCTCTCTCCTTTTTCCAGGGTCGGTGTCAATCGCCTTCCCAGTGTGAGCAATCGTTGGCGACGTCTTCCCACCTATCGATGTGCATCTTCAAACTTCCTCTTTCTCCTCTCCTTTTCCAGCCCTCTGTCAATCACCTTCCCAGTGTGAGCAATCGTTGGCGACGTCTTTCCACCTATCGATGTGCATCTTCAAACTTCTCTATTCTCCTCTCCTTTTCCAGCCTCTCCCAGTTTGTCAATCGCCGCCCCAGTGTGAGCAATCGTTTTTCCACGTTTTCCCACCCATCGATGTGCATCTTCAAACTTCCCTCTTTCTCCTCTCCTTTTTCCAGCCCTCGGTGTCAATCACCTTCCCAGTGTGAGTGCAATCATTGGCGACGTCTTCCCACCTATCGATGTGCATCTTTAAACTTCTCTTTCTCCTCTCCTTTTTCCAGGCTCGGTGTCTATCCTTCCCAGTGTGAGCAATCGTTGGCAATGTCTGCCCACCTATCGATGTGCATCTTCAAACTTCTCTTCCTCCTCTCCTTTTCCAGCCCTCAGTGTCAATCGTCTTCCCAGTTTGAGCAATCGTTGGCGACGTCTTCCCACCCATCGATGTGCATCTTCAAACTTCTCTTTCTCCCTCTCCTTTTTCCAGTCCTCAGTGTCAATCCCCCCCAGTGAGCAATCGTTGGCGACGTCTACCCCACCTATCGATGTGCATCTTCAAACTTCTCTTTCTCCTCTCCTTTTTCCAGGCTCGGTGTCAATCGCCTTCCCAGTGTGAGCAATCGTTGGCGATGTCTTCCACCTATCGATGGCATCTTCAAACTTCTCTTTCTCCTCTCCTTTTTCCAGGCCTCGGTGTCTATCGCATTTCCAGTGTGAGCAATCGTTGGCGACGTCTTCCCACCTATCGATGTGCATCTTCAAACTTCTCTTTCTCCTCTCCACCAGCCCTCAGTGGTAATCACCTTCCAGTGTAGGTGATCGTTGGCGACGTCTTCCCACCCATCGATGTGCATCTTCAAACTTCTCTTTCTCCTCTCCTTTTCCAGCCGTCGGTGTCAATCGCCTTCCCAGTGTGAGCAATCGTTGGCGACGTACCTTCCCTATCGATGATGTGCATCTTCAAACTTCTCTTTCTCCTCTCCTTTTCCAGCCCTCGGTGTCTATCCTTCCCAGTGTGAGCAATCGTTGGCGACGTCTCCCCACCTATCGATGTGCATCTTCAAACTTCCCTTTCTCCACTCCTTTTCCAGCCCTCGGTATCTCGCCTTCCAGTGAGCAATCTTTGGCGACATCTTCCCACCTATCGATGTGCATCTTCAAACTTCTCTTTCTCCTTTTTTTTCCAGTCCTCGTTGTCAATCCGCTTTCCCAGTGTGAGCAATCGTTAGCGACGTCTTCCACCTATCGATGTGTGCATCTCTTCACTTCTCTTTCTCCTCTTTTTTCCAGGCTCGGTATCAATCACCACCCAGTGTGAGCAATCATTGTCGACATGCTTCCCTATCGATGTGCATCTTCAAACTTCTCTTTCTCCTCTCCTTTTTCCAGCCCTCGGTGTCAATCACCTTCCCAGTGTGAGCAATCGTTGGCGACGTCTTCCCACCTATCCGTTGGCATCTTCAAACTTCTCTTTCTCTCTCCTTTTCCAGGCTCGGTGACAATCGCCGCAGTGTGAGCAATCGTTGTCGACGTCTTCCCACTTATCGATGTCATCTTCAAACTTCTCTTTCTCCTCCCTTTTTTCGGGCTCGGTGTCAATCATCTTCCTAGTTTGAGCCATCGTTGGCGACGTCTTCCCACCTATCCGGTGTGCATCTTCAAACTTTCTTTCTCCTCTCCTTTTCCAGGCTGCGGTGTCAAACACCTTCCCAGTGTGAGCAAACTTTGGCGACATCTTCCCCCCAATCGATGTGCATCTTCAAACTTCTCTTTCTCCTCTTCTTTTTCCAGGCCTCGTTGTCAATCGTCTTCCCAGTGTGAGCAATCGTTGGCGACGTCTTTACTTATCGCATCTTAAACTTCTCTTTCAAAATTTTTTAAACTTTCAATCGTCTCCTTTTTCCAGCCTGCTTTGTCATCTTCGCCTTCCCTTTCCTTTTTCCAGGCTCAGCAATCAACTTTGTCTGAGCACGTTGGCGACGTCTCCACCATTCAATGTGCATCTTCCCAATTTTCTTTTCTCCTCTCCTTTTTCCAGCCTCGGTGTCCTATCCCATCCCAATCGGCAATCGTTGACGTCTTCCACTTATCGATGTGCATCTACAAACTTCTCTTTCTCCTCCCTTCTTCCAGACCTCGGTCTCAATCGCCTTCCAATTAGAAGCAATCGTTGGCGACGTCTTCCCACCTATCGATGTGCATCTTCAAACTTCCCTTTCTCCTCTCCTTTTCCAGCCCTCGATTGTCAATCGCCTTCCCCAGTGTAGCAAAGGCAATCGTTGGCGATGCCTTCCCACCCTATCGTGTGCATCTTCCAAACTTCTCTTTCTCCTCTCCTTTTCCAGCCTCAGTGTCCTATCGCCTGCCCAGTGTGAGCAATCGTTGGCGTGTTATTTTACCCTATCGCTGTGCATCTTCAAACTTCGCTTTCTCCACTCCTTTTCCAGCCCTCAGTTATCGCCTTCCCAGTGTGAAGCAATCTTTGGCGACGTCTTCCCACCTGTCGATGTGCATCTTGTTTCTTTTCTCCTCTGCTTTTCCCTCCTTTCGTTGTCGTCCTTTTCCAGTGTGAGCAATCGTTGGCGACGTCTTTCCACCTATCGGTGGCATCCTTTAAACTTCTCTTTCTCTCCACTTTTTTTCCGAGCCAGTGTGGCTTCTTTAATGGTAATCATTGTCGACGTCTTCCCACCTATCGTGTGCATCTACTGACTTTACTCTTTCTCCTCTCCTTTTCCAGCCCTCGGTGTCCATCGCCTTCCCAGTGTGAGCAATCGTTGGCGACGTCTTTCCACCTATCGATGTGCATCTTCAAACTTCTCTTTCTCCTCTCCTTTTTTCCAGCCTCGTTGTCAATCGCCTTCCCAGTGTGAGCAATCGTTGTCGACGTCTTCCACCCTATCGATGTGCATCTTCAAACTTCTCTTTCTCCTCTCCTTTTTCCAGTCCTCGTTGTCAATCACCTTCCCAGTGTGAGCAATCGTTGGCGACGTCTTCCCCACCTATCGATGTGCATCTTCAAACTTCTCTTTCTCCTCTCCTTTTCCCTCGGTGTCTCACCTTCCCAGTGTGAGCAATCGTTGGCGACGTCTTCCCAGTTCTCTTTCTCCTCTTCTTTTTCCAGGCTCAGTGTCTTCACCTTCCCAGTGTGAGCAATCGTTGGCCCTACCCACCTATCGATGTGCATCTTCTTCTCTTTCTCCTCTCCTTTTTTCCAGGCTCGGTGTCAATCTTCCCAGTGTTCGTTGGCACGTCTTCCACCTATCGGTGTCTTCAAACTTCTCTTTTCTCCTCTCCTTTTTCCAGGCCCTCGGTGTCAATCACCTTCCCAGTGTGAGCAATCGTTGGCGACGTCTTCCCACCTATCGATGTGCATCTTCAAACTTCTCTTTCTCCCCTCCCTTTTTCCAGCCCTCGTTGTCACCACCTTCCCAGTGTGAGCAATCGTTGTCGACGTCTTCCCCACCTATCGACTTCTCTCTTCTCCTTTTTCCACTTCTGCTTTCTCCTCTCCTTTTTTCCAGCCTCAGTGTCCTTCAATCCTTTCTCCTCTCTTCCCAGTGTCGAGCAATCGTTGGCAACGTTGGCTTTTCCCACCTATCGATGTGCATCTTCAAACTTCTCTTTCTCCTCTCCTTTTTCCAGCCCTCGTTGCCTATCGCCTTCCCAGTGTGAGCAATCGTTGGCGACGTCTTCCCACCTATCGATGCATCTTCAAACTTCTCTTTCTCCTCTCCTTTTTCCAGCCTCGGTGTCAATCCTTTCCCAGTGGAGCAATCGTTGGCGACGTCTTCCCACCTATCGATGTGCATCTTCAAACTTCTCTTTCTCCTCTCCCTTTTCCAGCCCTCGGTGTCAATCCTTTTCCCAGTGTGAGCAATCGTTGGCGACGTCTTCCCACCTATCGATGTGCATCTTCAAACTTCTCTTTCTCCTCTCCTTTTCCAGGCCTCGGTGTCAATCGCCTTCCCAGTGTGAGCAATCGTTGGCGACGTCTTCCCACCTATCGATGTGCATCTTCAAACTTCTCTTTCTCCTCTCCTTTTTCCTCCTCGGTGTCAATCACCTTCCCAGTGTGAGCAATCGTTGGCGACGTCTTTCCACCTATCGATGTGCATCTTCAAACTTCTCTTTCTCCTCTCCTTTTCCAGCCCTCGTGTGTCATTTTCCCAGTGTCTCTCTTGTCGACGTCTTCCCACTTTTCTTCAAACTTCTCTTTCTCCTCTCCTTTTTTCCAGCCCTCGGTGTCTGTCGTCTTCCCAGTGTGAGCAATCGTTGGCGATGTCTTCCCACCTATCGATGTGCATCTTCAAACTTCTCTTTCCCTCTCCTTTTCCAGCCTGCGGTGTCCTTCGCCCCTTCCCCAGTGTGAGCAATCTTTGGCGACGTCTTCCCACCTATCGATGTGCATCTTCAAACTTCTCTTTTCTCCTCTCCTTTTTCCAGCCGTCGGTGTCAATCGTCTTCCTATTTGAGCAATCGTTGGCGACGTCTTCCCACCTATCGATCATCTTCAAACTTTTCTTTCTCCTCTCCTTTTCCAGCCTGCTTTGTCAATTTGCTTCCATCTGCATTGTCGTTGGCTCTTCTCCCCAATCATCTGCATCTTCAAACTTCTTTTCTCCTCTCCTTTTCCAGCCCTCGGTGTCAATCGCCTTCCCATGTGAGCAATCGTTGGCGACGTCTTCCCACCTATCGATGTGCATCTTCAAACTTTTCTTTCTCCTCTCCTTTTTCCAGCCCTCGGTGTCAATCGCCTTTCCCCTGTCAGCAATCGTTGGCGACGTCTTCTCCCCATCGATGTGCATCTTCAAACTTTTGCTTCTCCTCTCCTTTTTCCAGGCCTCGGTGTCAATCGCCATCCCAGTGTGAGCAATCGTTGGCGACGTCTTCCCACCCTCTATGTGCATCTTCAAACTTCTCTTTCTCCTCTCCTTTTTCCAGCCCTCGTTGTCAATCGCTTCCCAGTGTGAGCAATCGTTGGCGACGTCTTCCCACCTATCGATGTGCATCTTCAAACTTCTCTTTTCCTCTCCTTTTTCCAGCCCTCGGTGTCAATCGCCTTCCCAGTGTGAGCAATCGTTGGCGACGTCTTCCCCCCTATCGATGTGCGTCTTCAAACTTCTCCTTCTCCTCTCCTTTTTCCAGCCTCGGTGTCAAAACACCTTCCTAGTGTGAGCAATCGTTGGCGACGTCTTCCCCACCTATCGATGTGCATCTTCAAACTTCTCTTTCTCCTCTCCTTTCCAGCCCTCGGTGTCCAATCACCTTCCAACTGTGAGCAATCGTTGACAACGTCTTTCCACCTATCGATGTGCATCTTCAAACTTCTCTTTCTCCTCTCCTTTTTCCAGGCCTCGTTGTCAATCACCTTTGATGTGAGCAATCGTTGGCGACGTCTTCCCACCTATCGATGTGCATCTTCAAACTTCTCTTTCTCCTCTCCTTTTCCAGTCAGGCTCGTTGTCAATCACCTCCCAGTGTGTAGCAATCGTTGGCGACGTCTTCCCCGATGTGCATCTTCAAACTTCGATTTCCACTCTTCAGTCCTCGGGCTTCTCTCTTTGGCGACGTTTTCCCACCCATCGTGTGCATCTTCCCACTTCTCTTTCTCCTCTTTTCGTTGGCGGTGCCTATCGCCTTCCCAGTGTGAGCAATCGTTTGGCGACGCGTCTTCCCACCAATCTCTTCAAACTCTCTTCCTCCTCTTTTTTTTCCAGTGCCTAGCAATCGTTTCCCAGTGTGAGCGTCGTTGGCGACGTCTTCCACCTATCGATGTGCATCTTCAAACTTTTCTTTCTCCTCTCCTTTTTCCAGCCTCGGTGTCAATCACTTTCCCAGTGTGAGCAATCGTTGGCGACGTCTTCCCAACTATCGATGTGCATCTTCAAACTTCTCTTTCTCCTCTTTTTTTCCAGGCCTCGGTGTCAATCACCTTCCCAGTGGAGTAATCGTTGGCGACGCCTTCCCACCTATCGATGTGCATTTTCAAACTTCTCTTTCTCCTCTCATTTTTCCAGCCCTCGGTGTCAATCACATTTCCCAGTGTGAGCAATCGTTGGCGACGTCTTCCCCACCCATCGATGTGCATCTTCAAACTTCTCTTTCTCCTTCGTTTTCCAGCTCTCGGTGTCTATCGCCTTCCCCAGTGTGAGCAATCGTTGGCGACGTCTTCCCACCCATCGATGTATTGAACAAACTGCTTTCTCCTCTCCTTTTTCCAGCCCCTCGTGTCAATCGCATTCCCAGTTTGAGCGTCGTTATGACGTCTTTCCCACCTATCGATGTGTGCATCTTCAAACTCTCTCCTTTTTCCAGTCCTCGTTGTCAATCGCCTTCCCAGTGTCAGCAATCGTTGGCGACGTCTTCCCCACCTATCGATGTGCATCTTCAAACTTCTCTTTCTCCTCTCCTTTTCCAGCCCTCGGTGTCAATCGTCTTCCCAGTTTGAGCAATCGTTGGCGACGTCTTCCCACCTATCGATGTGCATCTTCAAGCTTCTCTTTCTCCTCTCCATTTTTCCAGCCCTCGGTGTCAATTGCCTTCCCAGTGTGAGCAATCGTTGGCGACGTCTTCCCCCTATCGATTCTCCTCTCCTTTTTCATCTTCAAATCGCCTTCCCAGTGTTTATCCTTGGCCTTTTCCCACCTATCGATGTGCATCTTCGTCTTCCAGTTTTCCCTTTTTCAATCGTTATGACGTCTTCCCACCTATCGATGGCGACGTCTTCCCACCTATCGCATCTTCAAACTTCTCTTTCTCCTCTCCTTTTCCAGTCCTCGTTGTCAATCGCCTTCCCACTGTGAGCAATCGTTGGCGACGTCTTCACACCTATCGTGTGCATCTTCAAACTTCTTTCTTTCTCTCCTTTTCCAGCCCTCGGTGTCAATCGCCTTCCCAGGTGAATCTTTGGCGTCGTCTTCCCTACCTATCGATGTCCCAAACCTTTCGATGTGCATCTTCGTGAGGCAATCGTTGGCGACGTCTTTCCACCCATCCAGCCTTCAAACTTCGGTGTCCTCCCTTTTCCAGGCTTCCAGTTTGAGCAATCGTTGGCGACGTCTTCCCACCCTATCGATGTGCATCTTCAAACTTCTCTTTCTCCTCTCCTTTTTCCCTCCCCTTCCAAATTGAGCAATCGTTGGCGATCTTCCTTCCAGTGACAATCGCCGCAGGTGTGAGCAATCGTTGTCGACGTCTTCCCACCTTATCGATGTGCATCTTCAAACTTCTCTTTCTCCTCTCTTTTTTCCAGGCTTTTTCCAGTTCCCACTTTCGGTGTCAAACTCCTTCCCAGTGTGAGCAATCGTTGGCGACGTCTTCCCACCTATCGATGTGCATCTTCAAACTTCTCTTTCTCTTCTGCTTTTCCAGCCCTCGTGTCTATCGCATTCCCAGTGTGAGCAATCGTTGTCGACGTCTTCCCACCTATCGATCGATGCATCTTCAAACTTCTCTTTCTCCTCTTTTTTCCGCCCCTCGGTGTCAATCGCCTTCTCAGTGTTGAGCAATCGTTGGCGACGTCTTCCCACCTATCGATATGCATCTTCAACTTCTCTTTTCTCCTCTCCTTTTCCAGCCCTCGTTGTCAATCGCCTTCCCAGTATGAGGCAATCGTTGGCGACGTTTTCCCCACCTATCGATGTGCATCTTCAAACTTCTCTTTCTCCCTCTCCTTTTTCCAGCCCTCAATGTCTATCCCTTCCCAGTGTGAGCAATCGTTGGCGACGTCTTCCCACCTATCGATGTGCATCTTCAAACTTCTCTTTTCTCCTCTCCTTTTTTCCCAGGCTCGAATTGTCTATCGCCTTCCCAGTGTGAGGCAATCGTTGGCAACGCCTTCCCCCCCCATCGATGTGCAATTCTCTTTCTCCTCTCCTTTTTCCAGCCCTCGGTGTCAATCACCTCCCAGTGTGAGCAATCATTATGCGTCTTTAACCTTCTCTTTCTTCAAACTTCTCTTTTCTCTTCCTTTTTCCAGCCCTCGGTGCCAATCGCCTTCCCAGTGAGCAATCGTTGGCGACGTCTTCCCACCTATCGATGTGCATCTTCAAACTTCCCTTTCTCCTCTCCTTTTCCAGGTCTCGGTGTCAATCACCTTCCCAGTGTGTGAGCAATCGTTGGCGACGTTCACCAACCTATCGATGCCTTCCTTCTCTTTTCCTCTCCTTTTTTCCAGCCCACTCGTTCAACACACCTTCCCAGTGTGAGCAATCGTTGGCTCTTCCCACCCTATCGATGTGCATCTTCAAACTTCTCTTTTCTCCTCTCCTTTTTCCAGGCTCGATCTAATCCCCTTCCCAGTGTGAGCAATCGTTAGCGACATCTTCCCACCTATCGATGTGCATCTTCAAACTTCTCTTTCTCCTCTCATTTTTTTCCAGGGTCTGTGTCAATCACATTCCCAGTGCGTGAGCAATCGTTGGCGATGCCTTTCCCACCTATCGATGTGCATCTTCAAACTTCTTTCTCCTCTCCTTTTTCCAGCCCTCGGTGTCAATCACCTTCCCATGTGAGCAATCGTTGGCGACGTCTTCCCACCTATCGATGTGCATCTTCAAACTTCTTTCTCCTCATTTTCCAGCCCTCGTTGTCAATCACATTTCCCAGTGTGAGCAATCGTTGGCGACGTTTTCCCACTATCGATGTGCATCTTCAAACTTCTCTTTCTCTCTCCTTTTTCCAGCCTCGGTGCTCATCGCCTTCCCAGTGTGAGTCGTTGGCAACGTCGTTCGCGACGTCTTCCCCTCCCTCTCCTATTGATGTGCAATCGTCTCAAACTTGACCCTTTCTCCTTCTTCTCTTTTTCCAGCCTCGGTGTCAATCACCTTCCCAGTGTGAGCAATCGTTGGCGACGTCTTCCACCTATCGATGTGCATCTTCAAACTTCTCTTTCTCCTCTCTCCTTTTTCCAGCCCTCGGTGTCAATCGCCTTCCCAGTGTGAGCAATCGTTGGCGACGTCTTTCCACCTATCGATGTGCATCTTCAAACTTCTCTTCTCCTCTCCATTTTCCAGCCCTCGGTGTCAATCGCCTTCCCAGTGTGAGCAATCGTTGGCGACGTTCCTTCCCACCTATCGATGTGCATCTTCAAACTTCTCTTTTCTCTCTCCTTTTCCAGCCCCTCGTTGTCAATCGCCTTCCCCAGTGTGAGCAATCGTTGGCGACGTCTTCCACCTATCGATGCATTTTCCGAACTTCCTTTCTCTGCTCTTTTCCAGGCTCGGTGTCAATCGCCTTCCCAGTGAGCAATCGTTGGCGACGTCTTCCCACCTATCGATGTGCATCTTCAAACTTCTCTTTTCTCCTCTCTATTTTCCAGCCCTCGGTGTCTATCGCCTTCCCAGTGTGAGCAATCTTTGGCGACGTCTTCCACCTATCGATGTGCATCTTCAAACTTCTCTTTCTCTGCTTTTTCCAGTCCTCGTTGTCAATCGATTTCCCAGTGTGAGCAATCGTTGGCGACGTCTTCCCACCCTATCGATGTGCATCTTCAAACTTCTCTTTCTCCTCTCCTTTTTCCAGGCTTGGTGTCAGTCGCCGCCAGTGTGAGCAATCGTTGGCGACGTCTTCCCACCTATCGATGCGTCTTCAAACTTCGCTTTCTTCTCCTCTTTTTTCCAGCCCTCTGGTGTCTATCACCTTCCCAGTGTGAGCAATCGTTGGCGACGTCTTCCCCACCTATCGATGTGCATCTTCAAACTTCTCTTTCTCTCCTTTTTCCAGGCCTCGGTGACAATCGCCTTTAGTGTGAGCAATCGTTGTCGGCGTCTTCCCACCTATCGATGTGCATCTTCAAACTTCTCTTTCTCTCTCCTTTTTCAGCCCACTCAGTGTCAATCACCTTCCCAGTGTGAGCAATCGTTGGCAACGTCTACCCACCTATCGATATGCATCTTCAAACTTCTCTTTTCTCCTTTTTCCAGGCTCGGTGGCCAAACACCTTCCTAGCCCTTGGCGTTGTCTTCAAACTTCTCTTTCTCTTTCTTTTCCAGGCTCGGTGTCAATCACCCCTTTAGTTGGCAATCGTTGTCCACTTCTACCCCACCTATCCCGATTGCATCTTCAAACTTCTCTTTCTCCTCTCCTTTTCCAGGCCTCGGTGTCAATCACCTTCCCAGTGGCAGGCATTCGTTGGCGACGTCTTCCCACCTATCGATGTGCATCTTCAAACTTCTCTTTCTCCTTTCCTTTTTCCAGGCTCGGTGTCAATCAACTTCCCAGTGTGAGCAATCGTTGGCGACGTCTTCCCACCTATCGATGTGCATCTTCGAACTTCGCTTTCTCCACTCCTTTTTCCAGCCCTCGGTGTCTATCGCATTCCCAGTGCGAGCAATCATTGACAACGTTTTCCCACCTATCGATGTGCATCTTCAAACTTCTCTTTCTCCTCTCCTTTTTTCCAGCCCTCGGTGCCTATCGCCTTCCCAGTGTGTGAGCAATCGTTGGCGACGTTTTCCCACCTATCGATGTGCATCTTCAAACTTCCCTTTCTCCTCTCTCCTTTTTTCCCAGTCGTCGTTGTCAATCACCTTTCCAGTGTGAGCAATCGTTGGCGACGTCTTCCCACCTATCGTGTGCATCTTAAACTTCTCTTTCTCCTCTCCTTTTTCCAGCCCTCGGTGTCCTCCGCCTTCCCAGTGTGAGCAATCGTTGGCGACGTCTTTACCACCTATCGATGTGCATCTTCAAACTTCGCTTTCTCCTCTCCTTTTTCCAGCCCTCGGTACCCTCGCCCCTTCCCAGTGTGAGCAATCTTTGGCGACGTCTTCCCACCTGTCGATGTGCATCTTCAAACTTCTCTTTCTCCTCTCCTTTTCCCAGCCCTCTGTGTCAATCCCTTTCCCAGTGTGCAGCAATCGTTGGCGACGTCTTTCCACCTATCGATGTGCATCTTCAAACTTCTCTTTCTTCTCTCCTTTTTTTCCAGGCTCGGTGTCAATCGCCACCAGTGTGAGCAATCGTTGGCGACGTCTTCCCACCTATCGATGCATCTTCAAACTTCTCTTTCTCCCTCTTTTTTCCAGCCCTCGTTGTCAATCACCTTCCCCAGTGTGAGCAATCGTTGGCGACGTCTTCCACCTATCGATGTGCATCTTCAAACTTCTCTTTTCTCCTCTCCGTTTTCCAGGCTCAGTGTCAATCGCGCCCCAGTGAGCAATCGTTGTCGACGTCTTCCCACTTATCGTGTGCATCTTCAAACTTCTCTCTTTCTCCTCTCCTTTTTCCAGCCCCTCGGTGTCAATCGTCTTCCCTAATTTAGTGCATCGTTGGCGACGTCTTCCCCACTTATCGGTGTGCATCTTCAAACTTTTCTTTCCTCTCCCCTTTTTCCAGCCTGCGGTGTCAATTGCCTGCCAGTGTCAGCAATCTTTGGCAGCGTCTTCTCCCCCAATCGATGTTGCATCATCAACTTCTCTTTCTCCTCTTTTCCACTTTTTTCCAATCGTCTTCCCCAGTTGAGCTCGTTAGCGGTGTGCATCTTCGCTTTTCTTTCTCATCTCCCCTTTTCCAGCCTGCTTTGTCAATTGCCTTCCAACTGTCACGTGCGTTGTGACCTTCTCACTATTCAATGTGCATCTTCAAACTTCTCTTTCTCCTCTCCATTTTCCAGCCTCGGTAGTCCATCGCCTTCCCAGTGTGAGCAATTGTTGGCGACGTCTTCCCACTATCGATGTGCATCTTCAACTTCTTTTTCTCTCCTTTCCAGCCTCGGTCTCCAATCCTTTCCCAGTGTAAGCAATCGTTGGCAACGTCTTCACCTATCGATGTTGCATCTTCAAACTTCTGCTTCTCCTCTCCTTTTTCCAGTCCCCTCGGTGTCAATCCTTGCTTTCCCAGTGTGAGCAATCGTTGGCGACGTCTTCCCACCTATCTGATGTGCATCTTCAAACTTCTCTTTCTCCTCTCCTTTTCCCAGCCCTCGGTGTCAATCGCCTTCCCAGTGTGAGCAATCTTTGGCGACGTCTTCCCACCTATCGATGTGCATCTTAAACTTTCTCTTTCTCCTCTGCTTTTTCCCACCCCTCGTTGTCAATCCCTTCCCAGTGTGAGCAATCTTTGGCGACGTCTTCCCCACCTATCGATGTGCATCTTCAAACTTCTCCTTCTCTCTCCTTTTTCCAGGCTCGTTGTCAATCCCCTTCTAGTGTGAGAGCAATCATTGGCGACGTCTACCCAACTATCGATGTGCATCTTCAAACTTCTCTTTCTCCTCCTTTTTTCCAGGCTCAGTGTCACCTTCCCATGTGAGCAATCGTTGTCGACGTCTTCCCACCTATCGATGTTGCATCTTCAAACTTCTCTTTCTCCTCTCCTTTTCCAGGCCTCAGTGTCCATTCCACCTTCCCATGTGAGCAATCGTTGGCAGCGTCTTCCCACCCTATCGATGTGCATCTTCAAACTTCTCTTTCTCCTCTCCTTTTTCCAGGCTCGGTGTCAATCGCCACCCAGTGTGAGCAATCGTTGGCGACGTCTTCCCATATCGATGTGCATCTTCGAACTTCTCTTTCTCCACTCCTTTTCCAGCCCTCGGTGTCTATCACCTTCCCTAGTTTGGCAATCGTTGGCGACGTTTCCACTACCCCACCTCTTTCTCCTCTCCATTTTCAAGCCCTCGGTGCCTTCTCCCAGTTTTCTCCTCTCCTTTGATAATGCATCTTTAAACTTCTCTTTCTCTGTCAATTTTCCTTCCCAGTGTCAGCGTCTTCCTAGTTTGAGCCATCGTTGGCACCTATCGATGTGCATCTTCAAACTTTTCTTTCTCCACTCCCTTTTTCAGCCTGCGGTGTCTATTGCCTTCCCAGTGTGAGCAAACGTTGGCGACGTCTTCTCCCAATCGATGCCATCTTCAAACTTCTCTTTATCCTCTCCTTTTCCATCCTCGTTTTCCAATCGTCTTCTCAGTTTGAGCAATCGTTGGCAACGTCTTCTCATTATCGATGTGCATCTTCAAACTTTTCTTTCTCGTCTCCTTTTCCAGCCTGCTTTGTCAATCACCTTCCCACTGTCAAACAATCGTTGGCGTCTTCTCCCTATCGATGTGCATCTTCAGAGCTTTTCTTTTCCTCTCCTTTTTCCAGCCCTCGGTGTCTATCGCCTTCCAGTGTGAGCAATTGTTGGCGACGTCTTCCACCTATCGATTATTGCATCTTCAAACTTCTCTTTCTCCTCTCCTTTTCCAGACCTCGGTGTCAATCCTTTCCCAGTGTGAAAAGCAATCGTTGGCAACGTCTTCCCCACCCTATCGATGTGCATCTTCAAACTTCTCTTTCTCCTCTCCTTTTTCCAGCCCTCAGTGTCGTCATCCTTCCCAATGTATTGGCAATCGTTGGCAACGTCTTTTCCTATCTATGTGCATCTTCAAACTTCTCTTTCTCCTCTCCTTTTCTAGCCCTCAGTGTCAATCGCCTTTCCAGTGTGAGGCAATCTTTGGCGACGTCTTTCCCTATCGATATTGCATCTAAACTTCTCTTTCTCCTCTGCTTTTTCCAGTTCTCGTTGTCAATCCCTTTCCCAGTGAAGGCAATCGTTGAGACATCTTCCCACCTATCGATGTGCATCTTCAAAGCTTCTCTTTTTTCTCTCCTTTTCCAGACTCCATTGTCCTATCCTTTTCCCAGTACTTGACGTCGTTGTCGACGTCTTCCCACCTATCGATATTGCATCTTCAAACTTCTCTTTCTCCTCTCCTTTTCCGCCCTTGGTGTCTATCACCTTCCCAGTGTGAGCAATCGTTGGCGACGTCTTCCCACCCTGATGATGTGCATCTTCGACTTCTTTCTCTCTCCTTTCCAGCCCACTGTGTGTCAATCGCTTTCCCAGTGTGAGCAATCGTTGTGATGCCTTTCCACCTATCGTGTGCATCTTCAAACTTCTCTTTCTCCTCTCCACTTCCAGCCCTCGGTGTCAATCGCCTTCCAGTGTGAGCAATCGTTGGCGACTTCTTCCCACCTATCGATGGCGCCATTCAAACTTCTCTTTCTCCTCTCATTTTTTCCAGCCCTCGTTATCCAATCCACATTCCCAGTGTGAGTATTCATTGGCGACGTCTTCCCACCTAACGATGTGCATCTTCAAACTTCTCTTTCTCCTCTCCTTTTTCCAGGCCTCGTGTCAATCACCTTCCAGTGTGAGTAATCGTTGGCGACGTCTTCCCACCTATCGATGAGCATCTTCAAACTTCTCTTTCTCCTCCTTTTTTCCAGGCTCGGTGTCAATCCACCTTCCCAGTGTGTGAGCAATCGTTGGCGACGTCTTCCCCACCTATCGGTGTGCATCTTCAAACTTCGCTTTCCACTCCTTTTTCCAGCCCCTCGGTGTCATCGTCTTCCCAGTGTGAGCAATCGTTATGACGTCTTCCCACCCATCGATATGCATCTTCGAACTTCTCTTCTCCACTCCTTTTCCAGCCCTCGGTGTCAATCACCTTCCCAGTGTGAGCAATCATTGGCGACGTCTCCCCCACCCATCGATGTGCACTTCAAACTTCTCTCTCTCTCCTTTTTCCAGGCTCGGTGTCAATCACCTTCCCAGTGTGAGCAATCGTTGGCGACGTCTTCCCACCTATCGATTGTGCATCTTCAAACTTCTCTTCCTCCTCTCTTTTTCCAGGCTCGTTGTCAATCACCTTCCCAGTGTGAGCAATCGAGGCTTCAAACTCTCTTCACACCCTTTTCCAGGCTCGTTGTACATCTTCGACGTTCTCACCCTCCTCTCCAAATTTTCTTCCCTCGTTGTCCCCAGTGTCAATCACATTCCCAGTGTGGAACAATCGCCAGCAACGTCTTCCACCCATCGATGTGCACTTAAACTTCTTTTCTCCTCTCCTTTTTCCAGGCTCGGTGTCAATCGCCTTCCCAGTGTGAGCAAACGGCGACGTCGTCTACCCTAACGATGTGCATCTTCAAACTTCTCTTTCTCCCTTTCCTTTTTCCAGGTCCTCAGTGTCAATCACATTCCCAGTGTGAACAATCGTTGGCGACGTCTTCCCACCTATCGATGTGCATCTTCAAACTTCTCTTTCTCTCCCCTTTTCCAGCTCTCGGTGTCAATCACCTTCCCAGTGTGAGCAATCGTTAGCGACGTTTCCCACTATCGATGTGCATCTTCAAACTTCTTTCTCCTCTCCTTTTCCAGGCCCTGGTGTCAATCGCCTTACCAGTGTGAGCAATCGTTGGCGACGTCTTCCCACCTATCGATGCGCATCTTCAAACTGCTCTTTCTCCCCTCTTTTTTTCTCCCTCAATCGGTGTCAATCACCTTACCAGTGTGACAATCGTTGGCGACGTCTGCCCACCTATCGATGTGCATCTTCAAACTTCTCTTTCTCTCCCTTTTCCAGGCCCTTGGTGTCAATCACCCCCCAGTGTGAGCAATCGTTGGCGACGTCTACCCACCCATCGATGTGCATCTTCAAACTTCTCTTTTTCCCTCTCTTTTTCCAGTCCTCGTTGTCAATCACCTTCCCAGTGTGAGCAATCGTTGGCGACGTCTACCCACCTATCGATGTGCATCTTCAAACTTCTCTTTCTCCTCTCCTTTTCCAGGCTCGGTGTTAATCGCCTTCCCAGTGTGAGCAATCGTTGGCGACGTCTACCCACCCTATCGTGGCCCATCTTCAAACTTCTCTTTCTCCTCTACCTTTTTCCAGTCCGTTGTCAATCTACCTTCCCAGTTTGAGAGTAATCGTTGGCGACGTCTTCCCACCCATCGATGTGCATCTTCGTCCTCTTTCTCCTCTCCTTTTTCCAGCCCTCGTGTCTATCGCCTTCCCAGTGTGAGCAATCGTTGTTGGTGACGTCTTCCCACCCTATCGATCTGCATCTTCTAACTTCTCTTTCTCCTCTCCTTTTTTCCAGTCCTCGGTGTTTATCGCCTTCCCAGTTTGAGCAATCGTTGGCGAGGTCTTCCACCTATCGATGTGCATCTTCAAACTTCTTTCTCCTCTCCTTTTCCAGTCCTCGTTGTCAATCACCTTCCCAATGTGAGCAATTGTTAGCGACGTCTCCCCACCTATCGATGTGCATCTTCTAATTTCTCTTTCTCCTCTCCTCGCCTTTGAGCAATCGTTGGCGACGTCCCTCGATATGCATTTATCGCCTTTCCCAGTTCCAGGCTCGCAATGTTTCCCAGTGTGAGCAATCTTGGCCGTCTTCCCTATCGATATGCATCTTCAAACTTCTCTTTCTCCTCTCCTTTTCCAGGCTCAGTGTCAATCACCTTCCCAGTGTGAGAGTAATCGTTGGCGACGTCTTCCCACCTATCGTTGTGCATCTTCAAACTTCGCTTTCTCAATCTTTTCCAGCCCCTGTTGTCAATCCCACCTTCCCAGTGTGAGCAATCGTTGGCAACGTCTTCCCACCTATCGTTGTGCATCTTCAAACTTCTCTTTCTCCTCCTTTTTCCAGGCCTCGTTGTCAATCGGCCTTTAGTGTGAGCAATCGTTGGACGTCTTCCCACCTATCGATGTACGCATCTTCAAACTTCTCTTCCTCCTCTCCTTTTTCCAGGCTCAGTGTCAATCGCCTTCCCAGTTAAATAATCGTTGGCGACGTCTTCTTCCCCACCCATCTGATGTGCATCTTCAAACTTCTTTCTCCTCTCCATTTTCCAGGCCTCGGTGTCAATCACCTCCCAGTGAGCAATCGTTGGCGACGTCTTCCACCTATCGATGTGCATCTTCAAACTTCTTTTCTCCCTCTTTTTCCAGGCTCGGTGTCAATCTTGGCCTTCCCAGTGTGAGCAATCGTGGGCGACGTCTTCCCACTATCGATGTGCATCTTCAAACTTCTCTTTCTCCTCTCCTTTTTCCAGTCTCTCCAGTGTCAATCGCCTTCCCAGTGTGAACAATCGTTAGCGACGTTTCCCACCTATCGATGTGCATCTTCAAACTTCTCTTTCTCCTCTCTTTTTCCAGCTCAGTGTCAATCGCCTTACCAGTGTGAGCAATCGTTGGCGACGTCTTCCCACCTATCGATGCATCTTCAAACTTCTCTTTCTCCTCTCCTTTTCCAGGCTCGGTGTCCAATCAACTTCCCAGTGTGAGCAATCGTTGGCGACGTCTTCCCACCCTATCGATGTGCATCTTCAAACTTCTCTCTTTCTCCCTCCTTTCCAGGCTCGGTGTCAATCACCTTCCCAGTGTGAGCAATCGTTGGCGACGTCTACCCCCTATCGATGCATCTTCAAACTTCTCTTTCTCCTCTCCTTTTTCCAGTCCTCGGTGTCAATCACCTTCCCAGTGTGAGCAATCGTTGTGGCAACGTCTGCCCACTATCGATGTGCATCAAACTACTTTCTCCTCTCCTTTTTTCCAGGCCTCGGTGTCAATCACCTTCCCAGTGAGCAATCGTTGGCGACGTCTTCCCACCTATCGATGCATCTTCAAACTTCTCTTTCTCTCTCCTTTTCCAGGCCTCGTTGTCAATCACCTTCCCAGTGTGAGCAATCGTTGGCGACGTCTTCCCCCTATCGATGTGCATCTTCAAACTTCTCTTTCTCCTCTTTTTCCAGTCCTCGTTGTCAATCACCTTCCCAGTGTGAGCAATCGTTGGCGACATCTTCCCACCTATCGATGTGCATCTTCAAACTTCTCTTTCTCCTCTCCTTTTCCAGCCCTCGGTGTCAATCGCCTTCCCAGTGTGAGCAATCGTTGGCGACGTCTTCCCACCTATCGATGTGCATCTTCAAATTTCTCTTTCTCCTCTCCTTTTCCAGCCCTCGTTGTCAATCACCTTCCAGTGTGAGCAATCGTTGGCGACGTCTTCCCCACCTATCGATGTGCATCTTCTAACTTCTCTTTCTCCTCTCCTTTTCCAGCCCTCGGTGTCAATCGCCTTCCCAGTGTGAGCAATCGTTGGCGACGTCTTCCCACCCCATCGATGCATCTTCAAACTTCTCTTTCTCCTCTTTTCCAGCCTCGGTGTCAATCGCCTTCCCAGTGTGAGCAATCGTTGGCGACGTCTTCCCACCTATCGATGTGCATCTTCGAACTTCCTTTCTCCTCTCCTTTTTCCAGCCCTCGGTGTCTATCGCCTTCCAGTGTGAGCAATCGTTGGCGACGTCTTCCCACCTATCGATGTGCATCTTCAAACTTCTCTTTCTCCTCCTTTTTCCAGCCCTCGGTGTCAATCACCTTCCCAGTGTGAGCAATCGTTGGCGACGTCTTCCCACCTATCGATGTGCATCTTCAAACTTCTCTTTCTCCTCTCCTTTTCCAGCCCTCGTCAATCGCCTTCCCAGTGTGAGCAATCGTTGGCGACGTCTTCCCACCTATCGATGTGCATCTTCAAACTTCTTTCTCCTCTCCTTTTCCAGGCCTCGGTGTCAATCACACCTTCCCAGTGTGAGCAATCGTTGGCGACGTCTTCCACCTATCGATGTACGTCTTCAAACTTCTCTTTCTCTCTCCTTTTCCAGGCTCAGTGTCAATCGCATTCCCCAGTGTGAGCAATCGTTGGCGACGTCTTCCCACTATCGATGTGCATCTTCAAACTTCTCTTTCTCCTCTCCTTTTTCCAGGCTCGGTGTCAATCACCTTCCCAGTGTGAGCAATCGTTGGCGACGTCTTCCACCTATCGATGTGCATCTTCAAACTTCTCTTTCCTCTCTCCCCTTTTCCAGGCTCAGGTGTCAATCACCTTCCCAGTGTGAGCAATCGTTGGCGACGTCTTCCCACCTATCGATGTGCATCTTCGAACTTCGCTTTCTCCCTCCTTTTTCCAGCCCCAAACTCAATTGTCAATCACCTTCCCAGTGTGAGCAATCGTTGGCGACGTCTTCCCACCTATCGATGTGCATCTTCAAACTTCTCTTTCTCCTCTCTCCTTTTCCAGCCCTCAGTGTCAATCGCCTTTCCCAGTGTGAGCAATCGTTGGCGACGTCACTTCCCCACCTATCGATGTGCATCTTCAAACTTCTCTTTCTCCTCTCGCTTTTCCAGTCTCGTTGTCAATCGCCTTCCCAGTGTGAGCAATCGTTGGCGACGTCTACCCACCCATATCGATGTGCATCTTCAAACTTCTCTTTCTCCTCTCCTTTTCCAGCCCTCGGTGTCAATCACCTTCCCAGTGTGAGCAATCGTTGGCGACGTCTTCCCACCTATCGATGTGCATCTTCAAACTTCTCTTTCTCCTCTCCTTTTTTCCAGCCCTCATTGTCAATCCGCCTTCCCAGTGTGAGCAATCGTTGGCGACGTCTTCCCACCTATCGATGTGCATCTTCAAACTTCTCTTTCTCCTCTCCTTTTTCCAGTCCTCGTTGTCAATCGCCTTCCCAGTGTGAGCAATCGTTGGCGACGTCTTTACCCACCTATCGATGTGCATCTTCAAACTTCTCTTTCTTTCTCCTTTTCCAGCCTCGGTGTCAATCCCCTTCCCAGTGTGAGCAATCGTTGGCGACGTCTTCCCACCTATCGATCTGCATCTTCAAACTTCTCTTTCTCCTCTCCTTTTTTCAGCCCTCGGTGTCAATCACCTTCCCAGTGCAGCAATCGTTGGCGACGTCTTCCCACCTATCGATGTGCATCTTCAAACTTCTCTTTCTCCTCTCCTTTTTCCAGTCCTCGGTGTCAATCACCTTCCCAGTGTGAGCAATCGTTGGCGACGTCTTCCCACCTATCGATGTGCATCTTCAAACTTCTCTTTCTCCTCTCCTTTTTCCAGGCTCGGTGTCAATCACCTTCCCAGTGTGAGCAATCTTCCCACCTATCGATGTGCATCTTCAAACTTCTCTTTCTCCTCTCCTTTTTCCAGTCCTCAGTGTCAATCACCTTCCCAGTGTGAGCAATCGTTGGCGACGTCTTCCCACCTATCGATGTGCATCTTCAAACTTCTCTTTCTCCTCTCCTTTTCCAGGCCTCGTTGTCAATCCACTTCCCAGTGTGAGCAATCGTTGGCGACGTCTTCCCCACCTATCGATGTGCATCTTCAAACTTCTTTTCTCCTCTCCTTTTCCAGGCTCGGTGTCAATCACCTTCCCAGTGTGAGCAATCGTTGGCGACGTCTTCCCCCCTATCGATGTGCATCTTCAAACTTCTCTTTCTCCTCTCCTTTTCCAGAGCTCTCTGTCAATCACCTTCCCAGTCTCGAACAATTCTTGGCGACGTCTTCTCCCTATCGATGCTATCTCTTCTGTCTCTCGAACACATTCTCCTTTTTCCACATCCTCGGTATCTCTCACCCTTCCACTATCTCCTCTCGTTGGCGAACACTGCCCAACTATCTATATCCCTCTTCAAACTCTCTTTCTCTCTTCTTTTTTCCTCTCTGTCTGTCGGTCCACCTTCCAGTGTGAGCATCACTTTGTCTCTCTCTACCCATCCTATCGTGTGCATCTTCAACACTTCTCTTTATCTATCTCCCTTTTCCGACTCTCTATCAATATCTTCCAGTCTGAGCATTCGAACACATCTTATGCATCTATCATGTCTTCTTCCTCTCTTCTCTTTATCCTTTCCTTTTCCTCTCGTCTGTCGAACACCTTCCCATGTATCTAATCCTTGGCGACGTCTTTCCACCTTTCTTTCTATCACTTCTCCTCTCGTCTCTCCCTCCTTTTTCCATGCTCTATATCTTTCGCCTTCCCAGTGTGAGCAATCCTTTCGTCGTTTTTCCCACCTATCGATGTGCATCTTCATCCTTCTCTTTCTCCTCTCACTTTTTCCAGCCTCGGTGTCAAACACATTCCCATGTGTCTATCGTTGGCGACGTCTTCCCACCTATCTCCTCTCATCTTCGAACTTCCTTTCTCCTCTCTCATTTTCCAGCCTCGTTGTCAATCACTTTCCCTCTGTGGTAATCGAACACAACGTCTTCCCACCTATCGATGTTGCATCTTCTGACTTCTCTTTCTCCTCTCCTTTTCCAGCCCCTCACGGTGTCTATCGCCTTCCCAGTGTCTCTCGTTAACGTGGGCGACGTCTTCCCACCTAACGATGTACGTCTTCAAACTTCTCTTTCTCCCTCCTTTTTCCATCCCTCAGTGTCAATCCATTCCCAGTGTGAACAATCTTTTAGCGACGTCTTCCCACCTATCTCGATGTGCATCTTCGAACTTCTCTTTCTCCTCTGTCTTTTCCTCCTCGTTATGTCAATCCCCTTCCCAGTGTGAACAATCGTTGGCGATCCCTTCCCACCCTATCGATGTGCATCTTCAAACTTCCTACACTCTCTCCTTATGTATCTACATGTCAATCAACTTCCTCACTCTATCGCAATCGTTGGCTCGTCTTCGAACACATATCGATGTGCATCTATCCCTTTCTCCCTCACTATCTTCCCCCTCGGTGTCAATCACATTCTATGTATCAACATCCCTTGGCGACGTCTACCCTCTCTCTATCACTTTCATCTTCTCTTCTCCTCTCCTCGAACACATTCCTCGGTATCATATCCCCTCTCCCAGTCTCTCGCTATCTTGACTCGTCTCGAACCTATCGATATGCATCTACATTCTTCTCTTTCTCCTCTCGTTTTCCTTCTCAGTATTCGAACACATTCCCAATGTATCAATCGTTGGCCTCTCTCTTCCCATCCTATCGATGTGCATTCTTCAAACTTCTCTCTCCTCTCCTTTTCCAGGCTCAGTGTCAATCACCTTCCCAGTGTGAGCAATCGTTGACGTCTACCCACCTATCGATGTGCATCTTCAAACTTCTCTTTCTCCTCTGCTTTTTCCAGTCCTCATTGTCAATCACCTTCCCAGTGTGAAACACTCCTCTCGTCTCAGACACATTCTATGTCTATATCTCTTTCTCCTCTCTCTCCTTTATCTCTTCTCGTCTCTCAGACACGTGTGTATCTATCTCCTTTCTCTCTCACTCTGTCTTTCCTGCCTCGTCTCTCCAGAACGTCTGTATCTATGTCCTTTCTCTTTCCTATCTCCCTCTCGTCTCTCGAACACATTCTATGTATCTATATCCCTTTCTCTCTCACTTCATCACTATCTCCTCTCGTCTCTCGAACACATTCTATGTATCTATATCCCTTCTCTCTCTCTCTCTATCACTATCTCCTCTCGTCTCTCGAACAAATCCTATGTATCTATATCTCTTTCCCTCTCTCTCTCACTATCGCTATCTCTCGTCTCTCGAACACATTCTGTATCTATATCCTTTCTCTCTCTCTATCACTATCTCCTCTCGTCTCTCGAACACATTCTATGTATCTACATCTTTCTCCCTCTCTCTCTCATCGCCATCTCCTTTCGTCTTTCGAACACATTCTATGTATCTATATCCCTTCTCTCTCTCTTCTATCACTATCTCCTCTCGTCTCAGAACACATTCTATGTATCTATATCTCTTTCTCCCCTCTCTATCTTTATTCCTCTCTTCTTTCGAACATTCTTATGTATCTATCCCTTTCTCTCTCTCTCTCCTTCGCTATCCTCTCGTCTCTCGAACACATTCTATGTAAATATATCCCTTTCTCTCTCTCTCTATCGCTATTCTCTCGTCTCTCGAACACATTCTATGCATCTATCCCTCTCTCTCTCTCTCTCACTATCTCTCTCGTCTCTCAGAACACATTCTATGTAAATATTTCCTCCCTCTCTCTCTATCACTATCTCCCTCTCGTCTCTCGAAACCATTCTATGTATCTATATCCTTTCTCTCTCTCTTTATCGTTATCTCCTCTCGTCTCCAGACACATTCTATGTATCTTATCTTTCTTTTCTCCCTCTCTCTATCGCCATTCCTCCTCTCTCGAACCCCATTCTGTATCTATCCCTCCCTCTCTTCATTGCTATCATCTCCTCTCAGGCTCTTCGAAATATCTATCCTATGCCTCACTCTCTGTCCTTCTCCTCTCTCTCTCAGCCATTCTATGTATCTAACCCTTTCTCTCTCTCTCATATCCTTTCTCCTCTCGTCTCTCAGACACATTCTATATCAATATCCCTTTCTCTCTCTCTCTATCACTATCTCCTCGTCTCTCAAACACATTCTATGTCTATCTCTTTCTCCCCTCTCTCTATCTCCTCTCGTCTCTCAGACATTCATAACATCTATGTCTCTTTCTCTCTCTCGTTACCTCTTCATTTCAGACACATTCTGTATCTATCTCTTTCTCCTCTCTCTCTATCCTTTCTCCTCTCGTCTCTCAGACACATTCTGTGTATCCTGTCTCTTTCTCCCTCTCTCTCGTTATCTCCTCTCGTCTCTCAACATTCTATGTCTATATCTCTTTCTCCCTCCCTATCGTTATCTCTTCTCGTCTCAGACACACATTCTACGTATCTATATCCCTTTCTCTCTCTCTATCTTCTCTCCTCTCGTCTCTCGAACCCATTCTGTATATCGTATCCCTTTCTCTCTCTCTATCACTTCTCTCTCTCTCGTCTCTCTCACACATTCTGTATATCTATATCCTTTCTCTCTCTCTCTATCCTCTCTCCTCGTCTCTCAGACAAATTCTTCTGTATCTATATCCTTTCTCCCTCTCTCTCATTACCTCTTCTCGTCTCTCAGACACATTCTGTATCTATCTCGAACCTTTCTCTCTCTCTCTATCACTATCTCCTCTCGTCTCGAACACATTCTATGTCCTATATCCTTTTTCCAGCTCTCTATCGCTATCTCCTCTCGTCTCTCAAACACATTCTATGTATCATATCCCTTTCTCCTCTCTATCACTATCTCCCTCTCGTCCTCGAACACATTTCTATGTATCTATATCCCTTTCTCTCTCTCTCTCTCTATCACTATCTCCTCTCGTCTCTCGAACACATTCTATGTATCTATATCCCTTCTTCCTCTCTATCTCCTGCTCGTCTCGATCACATTCTATGTGACAATCTCCCGACTCTCCCGTTATCGATTCTCATCTTCGAACATTTCTTTATCCCTCTCTTTCCTCTCTCTCTATCTCTATCTCGTCTCAGTCTCTGAACACATTCCTATGTATCTATATCCTTTCTCTCTCTCTCGTTCACTATCTCCTCTCGTCTCTCGAAACATTCTATGTATCTATATCCCTTTCCTCCTCTATCACTCTCTCCGTCTCTCCACATTCTATGATCTATCCCTTTCCTCTCTCTCTATCACTATCTCCTCTCGTCTCTCGAACACATTCTATGTATCTATATCCCTTTCAAACTTCACTATCCCTCTCGTCTCTCGAACACATTCCTCGGTGTCAATCACCTATCCCTTTTCTCTCTCTCTCTGGCACTATCTCCTCTCGTCTCTCAAACACATTCTATGTAACTATATCCCTTTCTCTCTCTCTATCACTATCTCTCTGTCTCTCAGACACATTCTGTGATCTATATCTCTTTCTCCTCTCTCTCTCTATCCTATCTCCTCTCATCTCTCAACACATTCTATGTCTCCCTTTGCCCTTTCTCTCTATCACTATCTCTCCTCTCGTCTCTCAGTGTGACATTCGTTGGCAATCGTCTATATCCCTTTCTCTCTCTCTTTCACCATCTCCTCTCATTCTCAAACACATTCCCCTATGTATCTATGTCCCTTTCTCTCTCTCTCTATCCTATCTCCTCTCGTCTCTCTGACACCTTTTCTATGTCCATATTTCTCTTTCTCCTCTCTCTCGCTTCTCCAGTCTCTCGAACATATTCTATGTATCTATATCTCTTTCTCTCTCTCTCTCACTACCTCTCGTCTTGGAGATTCTATGTCTATATCCTCTCCTCTCTCTCTCTTTCACTATCTCCCTCTCGTCTCTCCTACACATTCTATGTATCTATATCTCTCTTTCCTCTCTCTCTCGGTATCTCCTCACCTCTCGAACACATTCTGAGTATCTATATCCCTTTCTCTCTTATCACTATCTCTCTCCTCGTCGAACACACATCTTCAAACTATATCCTTTCTCTCTCTATCTATCTTTCCAGTCCCTTTTTCTCTCTCTCTCTATCACTATCTCCTCTCGTCTCTCAGACACATTCTATGTATCTATCCCTTTCTCTCTCTCTCTATCACTATCTCCTCTCGTCTCTCAGACACATTCTATATGTATCTATATCCCTTTTTCTCTCTCTCTCTATCACTATCTCTCCTCTCGTCTCTCGAACACATTCCTATGTATCTATATCCCTTTCTCTCTCTCTCTATCACATATCTCCTCTCGTCTCTCGACACATTCTATGTATCTATATCCCTTTCTCTCTCTCTCTCGACGTCTCCTCTCGTCTCTCAGTGCATTCTTATCCTATAACCTTTCTCTCTCTCTCTATCCATCTCCTCTCGTCTCTCGAAACACATTCCAGTGTATCTATATTCCTTTCTCTATCTCTATCCCTCCCTCTCGTCTCTCTCTTTCAAATCTATATCTCTTTCTCTCTCTCTTTTTCACATCCCTCTCGTCTCTCTATACCTTCCCAGTTTCTCCTCCTCTCTCTATCGTATCTCCTCGTCTCGAACACATCTCTATCTCCTCTCTCTCTCTATCCTATCTCTCTCAGTCTCTCGAACACATCTCTATCACCCTTTTCTATCGTTCTCCTCGTCTCTCAAACACATTCTATGTATCTATATCCCTTTCTCTCTCTCTCTATCTTCTCTCTCGTCTCGACTCTCAGACTATGTATCATATCTCTTTCTCCCCTCTCTCTCTATCATTATCTCCTCTCGTCTCTCAGACACATTCTATGTATCTATATCCCTTTCTCTCTCTCTCTCACTATCTCCCTCTCTCTCACATTCTCTGTGTATCTATCCCTTTCTCTCTCTCTCTATCACTATCTCCTCTCGTCTCTCAACACATTCTAATCTATATCCCTTTCTCCCTCTCTCTCTATCACTATCCCTCTCGTCTCTCAGACACATTCTGTGTATCTATATCCCCTTTCTCTCTCTCTATCTATCTCCTCTCGTCTCTCTCAGACACATTCTGTATCTATATCCCTTTCTCTCTCTCTCTCACTATCTCCTCTCGTCTCTCGAACACATTCTATGTGTCATATCCCTTTCTCTCTCTCTCTCTATCACTCTCGTCGTCTCCACATTCTATGTATCTATATCCCTTTCTCTCTCTCTCTATCACTATCTCCTCTCGTCTCTCAGACATTCTATGTATCTATATCCCTTTCTCTCTATCACTATCTCCTCTCGTCGACTCTCAAACACATTCTATGTATCTATATCCTTTCTCTCTCTCTCTATCACTATCTCCTCTCGTCTCTCGAACACATTCTCCAGGCTCTATATCCCTTTCTCTCTCTCTCTCACTATCTCCTCTCCTCTCTCGACACATTCTGTCTCAGACACATTCTATGTATCTCGTCAACACATTCTATCTTTCTCTCTCTCTCTCTATCACTATCTCCTCTCGTCTCTCGAACACATTCTATGTATCTATATCCCTTTCTCTCTCTCTATCACTATCTCCTCTCGTCTCGAACACATTCTATGTATCTATATCCCATTCTCCAGCCTCTCTATCACCTTTCCTCGTCTCTCACACATTCTATGTATCTATATCCCTTTCTCTCTCTCTATCGCTATCTCTTCTCGTCTCTCGAACAAACATTTTATGTATCTATATCCCTTTCATATCTCTCTCTATCCTATCTCCTCCGTCTCTCCACATTCTATCAATCTATATCCTTTCTCTTCCCACTCTATCACTATCTCCTCTCGTCTCTCGAACACATTCTATGTATCTATATCCCTTCTCTCTCTCTCTATCACTATCTCCTCTCGTCTCTCGAACACATTCTATGTATCTATATCCTTTCTCCTCTCTCTCGTTATATCTCTCTCGTCTCTCGAACACATTCTATGTATCTATATCCCTTTCTCTCTCTCTCTATCACTCCTCCTCGTCTCTCAAACATTCTTCTGTATCTATATCCCTTTCTCTCTCTCTCTATCACTATCTCCTCGTCTCGAACACATTTTTGTATCCCTTTCTCTTTCTCCTCTCTCCACTATCTCCTCTCGTCTCTCAACCCATCATTCTATATCCCCTTTCCTTTCTCTCTATCACTATCTCCTCTCGTCTCGATTCCTCTCGTCTTCAAACACATTCTATGTATCTATATCCCTTTTCTCTCTCTCTATCACTATCTCCCTCTCGTCTCTCGAACACATTCTATGTATCTATATCCCTTTCTCTCTCTATCACTATCTCCTCTCGTCTCTCGAACACATTCTATGCATCGTATATCCCTTTCTCTCTCTCTCTATCACTATCTCCTCTCGTCTCTCAACACATTCTATGTTCTATATCTCTTTCCTCTCTCTCAATCTCTTCTCACTTTCTCGAACACATTCTATGTATCTATATCCCTTTCTCTCTCTCTCTCGATCTCCTCTCGTCTCTCAGACACATTCTATGTATCTATATCCCTTTCTCTCTCTCTCTATCACAATCTCCTCTCGTCTCTCGAGACATTCTATGTATCTATATCCCTTTCTCCCTCTATCACTATCTCCTCTCGTCTCTCAGACACATTTCTACGTATCTATATCCCTTCTCTCTCTCTCTATCACTATCTCCTCTCGTCTCTCGAACACATTCTATGTATCTATATCTTTCTCTCTCCTATCTACTATCTCCTCCGTCTCTCTCAGACACATTCTATGTATCTATCCCCTTTCTCTCTATCACTATCTCCTCTCGTCTCTCACACACATTCTATGTATCTTATATCCCTTTCTCTCTCTCTCTATCACTATCTCCTCTCGTCTCGAACACATTCTATGTGTCCCTTTATCCCTCTCTCTATCACTATCTCCTCTCGTCTCTCGAACACATTCTATGTATCTATATCTCCCTTTCTCCCTCTCTCTATCCAGCTATCTCCTCTCGTCTCTCAGAACACATTCTATGTATCTATATCCCTTCTCTCTCTCTCTTCTATCACTATCTCCTCTCTCAGACACATTCTGTATCTATATCCCTTTCTCTCTCTCTCTCTACTATCTCTCGTCTCTCGAACACATCTATGTATCTATATCCCTTTCTCTCTCTCTCACTATCTATCTCCTCTCGTCTCTCAAACACATTCTATGTATCTATATCCTTTCTCTCTCTCTCTATCACTATCTCCTCTCGTCTCTCGAACACGTTCTATGTATCTATATCTCTTTCTCTCTCCCTCTATCGTTATCCCTCTCGTCTCTCGAACATTCTCGCCTCCCTTTCCTCTCTCTCTATCACTATCTCCTCTCGTCTCTCAAACACATTCTATCTATATCCATTCTCTCTCTATCATCCTCTCCTCGTCTCCACATTCTATGTATCTATATCCCTTTCTCTCTCTATCACTATCTCCTCTCGTCTCTCGAACACATTCTGTGTATCTATATCCCTTTCTCTCTCTCTCGGTATCTCCTCTCGTCTCTCGAAAACATTCTTCAATCTATATCTTTCTCCCTCTCTCTCTATCCCATCGATCTCGTCTCTCGAACACATCCCATGTATCTATATCCTCTTCCAGGCTCTCTCTATCACATTCCCATGTATCTCGAACACCCGTTTCCCTTTCTCTCTCTCACTTCACTATCCTCTCGTCTCTCGAACACATTCTATGTATCTATATCCCTTCCCCTATCTCTCTCTATCGACTATCTCCTATCGATCCCTCAGTCTCTCTCGAACACATTCTATCTCTCAGACACATATCTATGTGATCTATCCCCGCTTCTTTCTCCCTATCTCTCTCTCTATCAAACTATGTATCTATCCTCTCGTCTCTCTATCACATCTCCTCTCGTCTCTCTATACATTCTATGTATTCTTTCTCTCTCTCTCTCTATCACTATCTCCTCTCGTCTCTCAGACACATTCTACGTATCTATATCCCTTTCTCTCTATCACTATCTCCTCTCGTCTCTCTCCACACATTCTATGTATCTATATCCTTTTCTCTCTCTCTATCACTATCTCCCTCTCGTCTCTCAGACACATCTATGTATCTATATCCCTTTCTCTCTCTCTCTATCACTATCTCCTCTCGTCTCTCGAACACATTCTATGTATCTATATCCCTTTGTCTCTCTCTCTATCACTATCTCCTCTCGTCTCTCGAACACATTCTATGTATCTATATCCCTTTCTCTCTCTCTCTATCACTATCTCCTCTCGTCTCTCGAACACATTCTATGTATCTATATCCCTTGTCTCTCTCTATCACCTCTCCTCTCGTCTCGAACACATTCTATGTATCTATATCCCTTTCTCTCTCTCTCCATCACTATCTCCTCTCGTCTCTCGAACACATTCTATGTATCTATATCCTTTCTCTCTATCTCTATCTCCTCTCTCTCGTCTCGAACACATTCTATGTATCTATATCCCCTTTCTCTCTCTCTATCACTATCTCCTCTCGTCTCTCGAACACATTCTATGTATCTATATCCCTTTCTCTCTCTCTCTATCGTCACTATCTCCTCTCGTCTCTCGAACACATTCTATGTATCTATATCCCTTTCTCTCTCTCTATCACTATCTCCTCTCGTCTCTCGAACTCATTCTATGTATCTACACATTCTCTTCTCCTCTCGTCTCTTCAACACATTTTATGTATCTATATCCCTTTCTCTCTCTCTATCACTATCTCTCCTCTCGTCTCTCGAACACATTCTATGTATCTATATCCCTTTCTCTCTCTCTCTATCACTATCGATCCCACCTCTCGTCTCTCGAACACATTCTATGTATCTATATCTCTTTCTCCCTCTCTCTCTATCGCTATCTCCTCTCGTCTCTCGAACACATTCTATGTATCTATATCCCTTTCTCTCTATCACTATCTCCTCTCGTCTCTCGAACACATTCTATGTATCTATATCCCTTTCTCTCTCTCTCTATCACTATCTCCTCTCGTCTCTCGAACACATTCTATGTATCTATATCCCTTTCTCTCTCTCTATCACTATCTCCTCTCGTCTCTCGAACACATTCTATGTATCTATATCCCTTTCTCTCTCTCTCTATCACTATCTCCTCTCGTCTCTCGAACACATTCTATGTATCTATAACTCTTTCTCTCTCTCTATCACTATCTCCTCGTCTCTCGAACACATTCTATGTATCTATATCCCTTTCTCTCTCTCTATCTATCTCTCGTCTCTCGAACACATTCTATGTATCTATATCTCTTTCTCTCTCTCTATCGTCTCCTCTCGTCTCTCAAACACACATTCTATGTATCTCTATCCCTTTCTCTCTCTCTCTCTCTCTCTCATCACTATCTCCTCTCGTCTCTCGAACACATTCTATGTATCTATATCCCTTTCTCTCTCTCTATCACTATCTCCTCTCGTCTCTCGAACACATTCTATGTATCTATATCCCTTTCTCTCTCTCTCTGTCACTATCTCCTCTCGTCTCTCGAACACATTCTATGTATCTATATCTCTTTCTCCCTCTCTCTCTATCGCTATCTCCTCTCGTCTCTCGAACACATTCTATGTATCTATATCCCTTTCTCTCTCTCTCTATCACTATCTCCTCTCGTCTCTCGAACACATTCTATGTATCTATATCCCTTTCTCTCTCTCTCTCTCTCCCTCTCGTCTCTCGAACACATTCTATGTATCTATATCCCTTTCTCTCTCTATCACTATCTCCTCTCGTCTCTCGAACACATTCTATGTATCTATATCTCTCTCTCTCGTCTCCTCTCGAACACATTCTATGTATCTATATCTCTTTCTCCCTCTCTCTCTCACTATCTCCTCTCGTCTCTCGAACACATTCTATGTATCTATATCTCTTTCTCCCTCCCTATCGTTATCTCTTCTCGACTTTCGAACACATTCTACGTATCTATATCCCTTTCTCTCTCTCTCTATCACTATCTCCTCTCGTCTCTCGAACACATTCTATGTATCTATATCCCTTTCTCTCTCTCTCTATCACTATCTCCTCTCGTCTCTCGAACACATTCTATGTATCTATATCCCTTATCTCTCTTCTCTCTATCACTCACTCCTCTCGTCTCTCGAACACATTCTATGTATCTATATCCCTTTCTCTCTCTCTCTATCACTATCTCCTCGTCTCTCGAACACATTCTATGTATCTATATCCCTTTCTCTCTCTCTATCACTATCTCCTCTCGTCTCGAACACATTCTATGTATCTATATCCCTTTCTCTCTCTCTATCACTATCTCTCCTCTCGTCTCTCGAACACATTCTATGTATCTATATCCCTTTCTCTCTCTCTCTATCACTATCTCCTCTCGTCTCTCGAACACATTCTATGTATCTATATCCCTTTCTCTCTCTCTCTATCACTATCTCCTCTCGTCTCTCGAACACATTCTATGTATCTATATCTCTTTCTCCCTCTCTCTCTATCGCTATCTCCTCTCGTCTCTCGAACACATTCTATGTATCTATATCCCTTTCTCTCTCTCTCTCGCTATCTCCTCTCGTCTCTCGAACACATTCTATGTATCTATATCCCTTCTCCCTCACTATCTATCGTTCTCTCTATCTATGTATCTATCCCTCCTCTCTATCTCTCCTCTCGTCTCTCTCAACACATTCTATGTATCTATATCCCTTTCTCTCTCTCTCACTATCTCCTCTCGTCTCTCGAACACATTCTATGTATCTATATCCCTTTCTCTCTCTCTATCACTATCTCCTCTCGTCTCTCGAACACATTCTATGTATCTATATCCCTTTCTCTCTCTCTCTATCACTATCTCCTCTCGTCTCTCGAACACATTCTATGTATCTATATCCCTTTCTCTCTCTCTCTATCACTATCTCCTCTCGTCTCTCGAACACATTCTATGTATCTATATCCCTTTCTCTCTCTCTCTATCACTATCTCCTCTCTCTCTCGAACACATTCTATGTATCTATATCCCTTTCTCTCTCTCTCTATCACTATCCTCTCGTCTCTCCCAGTGTGACATTCTATGTATCTATATCCCTTTCTCTCTCTCTCTATCACTATCCTCTCGTCTCTCAACACATTCTATGTATCTATATCCCTTTCTCTCTCTCTCTATCACTATCTCCTCTCGTCTCTCGAACACATTCTATGTATCTATATCCCTTCTCTCTCTCTCTATCTATCTATCTCCTCTCGTCTCTCGAACACATTCTATGTATCTATATCCCTTTCTCTCTCTCTATCACTATCTCCTCTCGTCTCTCTCGAACACATTCTATGTATCTATATCCCTTTCTCTCTCTCTCTGGCGATCACTATCTCCTCTCGTCTCTCGAACACATTCTATGTATCTATATCCCTTTCTCTCTCTCTCTATCACTATCTCCTCTCGTCTCTCTAACACATTCTATGTATCTATATCTCTTTCTCTCTCTCTCTCACTATCTCCTCTCGTCTCTCAGACACATTCTATGTATCTATATCCCTTTCTCTCTCTCTCTATCACTATCTCCTCTCGTCTCTCGAACACATTCTATGTATAACCCTTTCTCCTCTATCATTCTCTCCTCTCTCTCTCTATCACACTATCTCCTCTCGTCTCTCGAACACATTCTATGTATCTATATCCCTTTCTCTCTCTCTCTCTATCACTATCTCCTCTCGTCTCTCGAACACATTCTATGTATCTATATCCCTTTCTCTCTCTCTATCACTATCTCCTCCTCTCGTCTCTCGAACACATTCTATGTATCTATATCCCTTTCTCTCTCTCTCTATCACTATCTCCTCTCGTCTCTCGAACACATTCTATGTATCTATATCCCTTTCCTCTCTCTCTATCCACTCTCTCCTCTCGTCTCTCGAACACATTCTATGTATCTATATCCCTTTCTCTCTCTCTATCACTATCTCCTCTCGTCTCTCTAACACACATTCTATGTATCTCTATCCCTTTCTCCTCTCGTCTCTCTATCACTTCTCTGTATCTATATCCCGTCTCTCCTCACATTCTATGTCTCTATATCCCATTCTCTATCTCTCTATCACTATCTCCTCTCCTCTCGTCTCTCGAACACATTCTATGTATCTATATCCTTTCTCTCTCTCTCACACTATCTCCTCTCGTCTCTCGAACACATTCTATGTATCTATATCCCTTTCTCTCTCTCTATCACTATCTCCTCTCGTCTCTCGAACACATTCTATGTATCTATATCCCTTTCTCTCTCTCCTATCACTATCTCCTCTCGTCTCTCGAACACATTCTATGTATCTATATCCCTTTCTCCTCTCTCTCTCTCTATCCTATCTCCTCTCGTCTCTCAGACACATTCTATGTATCTATATCCCTTTCTCTCTCTCTCTCTCACTATCTCCTCTCGTCTCTCTATATCGAACACATTCTATGTATCTATATCCCTTCTCTCTCTCTATCTCTATCTCCTCCTCGTCTCTCAACACATTCTATGTATCTATATCCCTTTCTCTCTCTCTATCACTATCTCCTCTCGTCTCTCGAACACATTCTATGTATCTATATCCCTTTCTCTCTCTCTATCACTATCTCCTCTCGTCTCTCCTCTATGTATCTATCCCTTTCTCTCTCTCTATCACTATCTCCTCTCGTCTCTCAGAACACATTCTATGTATCTATATCCTTTCTCTCTCTCTCTCTCTGCTATCTCCTCTCGTCTCTCAGAACACATTCTATGTATCTATATCCTTTCTCTCTCTCTATCACTATCTCTCTCGTCTCTCGAACACATTCTCCCTATCTATATCCCTTTCTCTCTCTCTCTCACTCATCTCCTCTCGTCTCTCGAACACATTCTCTGTATCTATATCCCTTTCTCTCTCTCTCTATCACTATCTCCTCTCGTCTCTCAAACATTCCCTGTGCATCTTATATCTCTTTCTCCCTCTCTCGCTAGCACTCTCCTCTCGTCTCCCAGTGAACAATCGTTCTACGTATCATATCAAACCTCTTCCCCTCTCTTTTTTCCAGTCCTCCTCTCACCTCCCCAGACAGCATTCGTTGGCGACTCTTCCCACCCCATTTCTCATCTTCAAACTTCTTCTTACTCCCTCTCTATTTCCAGCCCTCGGTACCAATCGCCTTCCCAGTGTGAGCAATAGTTATGACGTCTTCCACCTATCAATGTGCATATTCAACTTCGCTTTCTCCACTTTTTCCAGCCCTGCGCCCATCGCCTTCCAGTGATACCATATGACGTCTTCCCACCCATCGATGTGCATCTTCAAACTTATCTTTCTCCTCTCCTTTTTCCAGCCCTCATGTTCATCGCCTCCCCAGTGTGAGTAATCGTTGGCGACGTCTTCCACCCATCGATGTGCATATTCAAACTTCCTTTCTCCTCTGCTTTTTCCAGTCCCGTTGTCAATCACCTTCCCAGTGTGAGTAATCGTTGGCGACGTCTACCCACCGATCGATGTGCATCTTCAACTTCCTTTCTCCACTTTTTTCCAGCCTCAGTGTCATTTCCAGCCCTCGTTGGCATCTCGACTTACCAGTCGATGAGCAATCTTCCCTTTCTCCGTCTCTATCACCATCTCCTCTCATCCACCTATCGATTGTGCATCTTCCCCAAATCTCTCTTCGCTCACTTTCTCCTCTCCTTTTTCCAGCCCTCGGTGTCTATCACCTTCCCAGTGTGAGCAATCGTTGACGACGTCTTCCCACCTATCGATTCTGCATATTCAAACTTCTCTTTCTCCTCTGCTTTTTTCCAGTCATCGTTGTCCAATCACCTCCCAGTGCTGAGCAATCGTTGGCGACGTCTTCACACATCGATGTGCATCTTTCTAATTCTCTTTCTCCTCTCTTTTTCCAGCCCTCGTTGTCAATCGCCTTCCCAGTGTGAGCAATCGTTGGCGACGTCTTCCACCTATCGATGTGCATATTCAAACTTCTCGTTCTCCTCTATTTCCAGCCCTCGTGTCTATCACCTTCCAGTGTGAGCAATCGTTGGCGACGTCTTCCACCTATCGATGTGCATCTTCAAACTTCTTTCTCCTCTTTTTCCAGCCCTCAGTGTCTATCGCCTGCCCAGTGTGAGCAATCGTTGGCGACGTCTTCCCACCTATCGATGTGCATCTTCGTCTTCCTTTCTCCTCTCCTTTTCCAACCCTCGTTGTCTATCGCCTTCCCAGTGTGGAGCAATCGCTGGCGACGTCTTTCCCACTATCGATGTGCGTCTTCAAACTTCTCTTTCTTTTCTCCTTTTCCAGCCTCAGTGTCAATCGCCTTCCCAGTGTGAGCAATCGTTGGCGACGTCTTCCCACCCATCGATGTGCATCTTCAAATCCTTTCTCCTATCTTTTTCCTATGTCAATCTTTTTCGTTGGCAACGTCTTCCCTATCGATATTGCATCTTATTCTCTTTTTCTTCCCAGGCTCGTGAGCAATTGTTGGCGATCGGGACGTTCCACCTAACGATGTGCATCTTCAAACTTCTCTTTCTCCTCTCCTTTTTTTAGGCTCCAGCAATCCCTTCCCAATGTAGTCAATCGCCTTCCTATCGTGTGCATCTTCGACTCTTTCTCCTCTCCTTTTTCCAGTCCTCATGTCGCTATTCCCAAACAATCGTTGGCTCCTTCCATATCGATGTGCAACGTTCTCAATCTCCTCTCCCAGTCGTGAGCAATCACCTTCCCAGTGTGACAATCTTCCCACCTATCGATGCATCTTCAAACTTCTCTTTCTCCTCTCCTTTTCCGTCCTCGGTGACTATCACCTTCCCAGTGTGAGCAATCGTTGGCGACGTCTTCCCACCTATCGATGTGCATCTTCAAACTTCTCTTTCTCCTCTCCTTTTTACCAGGCTCCTCCACCTTCCCAGTCTATCGTTGGCGACCTTCCAGTGTGATCTTCGAACTTCTTGTCTATCCGCGTTCCAGTGTGGTAATCGTTGGCGATTCCCCACCCATCGATGTGCATCTTCAAACTTCTCTTTTCTCTCCTTTTTCCAGGCTCGGTTCAATTTTCCAGTCCCCACCTATCGTTCTTCAAACTTCTCTTTTCTCCTCTCCTTTCCAGCACTCAGTGTCCCAGTGTGAGCAATCGTTGGCGACGTCTTCCCACCTATCGATGTGCCTCTTCAAACTCCTCTGCTTTCCAGTCCTCGTTGTCAATCACCTCCCCAGCAGTTTCCAGCACGTCTTCCACCTATCGATGATGTCTTCATTCGCCCTCTCTATTTCCAGTGTCAATCGCCTTCCAGTGTGAGCAATAGTTGGCGACGTCTTCCACCCATCGTCGTGCATATTCGAACTTCTTTCCTCCACTTTTTTTCCAGCCCTCGTTGTCTATCGCCTTCCCAGTGTGAGCAATCGTTGAGACGACGTCTTCCCACCTATCGATGTGCGTTTTCAAACTTATCTTTCCCTCTCCTTTTTCCAGCCCTCCGGTGTCCTATCCCCTTGCTTCCCAGTGGAGGCAATCGTTGGCGACGTCTTCCCACCTATCGATGTGCATCTTCAAACCTTTCTCCTCCCTGCTTTCTTTCCTCGTTGTCAATCCTTTTTTCCAGTCCCCACCTATCGATGGCCATATCGCCTTTTCTCCTTTTCCAGCCCTCCTGTAATCACCTTACCAGTGCTGAGAGCAATCGTTGGCGACGTCTTCCCCACCCATTACGCATCTTCAAACTTCTCTTTTCTCCCTATCCGTTTTCAGCCGTCGGTGTCAATCACCTTCCCAGTGTGAGGCAATCGTTGGCGACGTCTTCCACCTATCGATGTGCATCTTCAAACTCTCTTTTCTCCTCTCTTTTTCCAGCCCTCGTTGTCAATCATCACCTTCCCAGTCTTCTCCACATATCGTGAGCTTTTCCAATCATCACCTCCCGGCGAATCGTTGGCTCTTCCCACCTATCGATGTACATCTTCAAACTTCTCTTTCCTCTGCTTTTTCCACGTCTTCCCACCTATCGGTGACTATCGCCTCCACTCCCAGCCCTCAATGTCTACTCGAGCAATCGTGGCGACGTCTCTTCCCACCTATCGATGTATTGCATCTTCAAACTTCTCTTTCTCCTCTCCTTTTTCCAGCCCTTGCGTGTCGTCTTCCCAGTTTGAGCAATCGTTGGCAACGTCTTCCCACCTATCGATATGCATCTTCAAACTTCTCTTTCTCCTCCTTTTTCCAGTCCTCGTTGTCAATCGCCTTCCCCAGTGTGAGCAATCGTTGGCGACGTCTTCCCCACCCATCGATGTGCATCTTCAAACTTCTCTTCTCTATCCTTTTTTAGCCCTCAGTGTCAATGTCCCAATCGCACCTAATGATGCCTGTGTGGAGCTCCTCTCCTGGCCCTCAGTGTCAATCCCCTTCCCAGTGTCCGTTGGCGACCTTCCCTTATCGATGTGCATATTCGAACTTCTCTTTTCAACTCCTTTACAGCCTCGGTGTCAATCACCTTCCCAGTGTGAGCAATCATTGGCGACGTCTTCCCACCTATCGATGTGCATCTTCAAACTCTCTTTCTCCTCTCCTTTTCCAGCCCTCGGTGACTATCGCCTTCCCCAGTGTGAGCAATCGTTGACCGTCTCTTCCCCACCTATCGATGTGCATCTTCAAACTTCTCTTTTCCTCTCCTTTTCCAGCCCTCAGGTGTCTATCGCTCTTCCCAGTGTGAGCAATCTTTGGCGACGTCTTCCCACCTATCGATGTGCATATTCAAACTTCTCTTTCTCCTCTGCTTTTTCCAGTCCTCGTTGTCAATCACCTCCCCAGTGTGAGCAATCGTTGGCGACGTCTTCCCACCTATCGATGTGCATCTTCAAACTTCTCTTACTCCTCTCTATTTCCAGCCCTCGGTGTCAATCGCCTTCCCAGTGTGAGCAATCGTTGGCGACGTCTTCCCACCTATCGATGTGCATTTTCTAAACTTCTTTCTCCTTTTTTTCCAGCCCTCGTTGTCAATCCACCTTCCCAGTGTGAGCAATCGTTGGCGACGTCTTCCCCACCCATCGATGTGCATTTTCTAACTTCTCTTTCTCCTCTCCTTTTTCCAGCCCTCGGTGTCTATCGCCTTCCCAGTGTGGAGCAATCGTTGGCGAGGTCTTCCCACCATCGATGTGCATCTTCAAACTTCTTCTCCTCTCCTTTTTTCCAGCCCTCGGTGCCTATCGCCTTCCCCAGTGAGTAACGTTGGCGACGTCTTCCCACCCATGGCATCTTTCAACTTCCCTTTCTCCTCTCCTTTTCCAGCCGTCGGTGTCAATCGATTTCCCAGTCGCATGCTTCCCAACTATCGATGTGCATCTTCAAACTTCTCCTCTCCTCTCATTTTCCAGCCCTCGTTGTCCAATCACCTTCCCAGTGTGAGCAATCATTGGCGACGTCTTCCCACCCATCGATGCATCTTCAAACTTCTCTTTCTCCTCTGCTTTTCCAGCCGTCGGTGACTATCGCCTCCCAGTGTGAGCAATCGTTGGCGACGTCTTCCCACCCATCGATGTGCATCTTCAAACTTCTCTTTCTCCTCCTCCTTTTCAAGCCCCAGTTTGGTTTGGCAACGTCTTCTCAATCGATGTGCATCTTCCCAGTTGTTTGAGCAATCGTTGGCGACGTCTTCCCACCTATCGATATGCATCTTCAAACTTCTCTTTCTCTCTCCTTTTTTTTCCAGCCGTCTTCCACCTATGTCAATCACTTCTTTTCCCAGTGTGAGCAATCGTTGGCGACGTCTTCCCACCCATCGATGTGCATCTTTAAACTTCTTTCTCTCTCCTTTTCCAGCCCCTCGGTGTCAATCGCCTTCCCAGTGTGAGCAATCGTTGGCGACGTCTTCCCACCCCATCGATGTGCATCTTCAAACTTTTTCAACTCTCTCTTTTCCAGTCCCCCTCGGTGTCTTCAATTCTCTTTCTCGCCCCTCCGTGTCCAGTGTGAGCAATCGTTTGCGACGTCTTCCCACCTATCGATGTGCATCTTTCAAACTTCTCTTTCTTCTCTCCTTTTCCAGCCCTCGGTGTCAATCGCCTTCCCAGTGTGAGCAATCGTTGGCAACGTCTTTCCACCTATCGATGTGCATCTTCAAACTTCTCTTTCCACTCCTTTTCCAGCCCTCGGTGTCAATCTCCTTCCCAGTATGAGCAATCGTTCGACGTTTTTCCCACCTATCGTGTTCTGCGATGTGCATCTTCAAACTTCTTTCTCCTCTCCTTTTCCAGCCCTCGTTGTCAATCTCCTTCCCAGTGTGAGCAATCGTTGGCGACGTTTTCCCACCCATCGATGCATCTTCAAACTTCTCTTTCTCCTCTCCTTTTTTCAGCCCTCGGTGTCAATCACCTTCCCAGTGTGAGCAATCGTTGGCGACGTCTTTCCACCCATCGATGCATCTTCAAACTTCTTTCTCCTCTCCTTTTTCCAGCCCTCGTTGTCAATCACCTTCCCAGTGTGAGCAATCGTTATGACGTCTTCCCACCCATCGATGTGCATCTTTCAAACTTCTTTTCTCCTCTCCTTTTTCCAGCCCCTGTGTCAATCGCTTTCCCAGTGTGAGCAATCGTTATGACGTTTTCCCACCTATCGATGTGCATCTTTCAAACTCTCTCCTTTTCCCCTCGGTCCTTATTTTCCAGCCCTCGGTGTCTATCGCCTTCCCAGTCATTTTCCAAAGAGCAATCGTTGGCGACGTCTTCCCACCTATCGATGTGCATCTTCAAACTTCTCTTTCTCCTCCTCCTTTTTCCAGCCTCGGTGTCAATCGCCTTCCCAGTGTGAGCAATCGTTATGACGTCTTCCCCACCCATCGATGTGCATATTCAAACTTTTTTTCTCCTCTGCTTTTTTCCAGTCCTCGTTGTCACCTCCCCAGTTTCGTTGGCGAGCCTTCCCCACCCTATCGATGTCATCTTCAAACTTCTCTTCCCAGTCTTCCCTGTGGCATCGCTTCTTCCTCTCTTTTTCAGCCCTCGTTGTCTACGCCTTCCCACCTATCGATCTTTGCATCTTCGAACTGTGCATCTTCTTCTCTTTTTCCAGCCCTCGGTGTCAATCACCTTCCCAGTGTGAGCAATCATTGGCGACGTCTTCCCACCCATCGATGTGCATCTTTAAACTTCTCTTTCTCCTCTCCTTTTCCAGCCCTCGGTGTCAATCGCCTTCCCAGTGTGAGCAATCGTTGGTGACGTCTTCCACCTATCGATGTGCATCTTCAAACTTCTCTTCTCCTCCTTTTTCCAGTCCTCGGTGTCAATCACCTTCCCAGTGTGAGCAATCGTTGGCGACGTCTTCCCACCCATCGATGCATCTTCAAACTTCTCTTTCTCCTCTCTTTTGTCCAGCCCTCGTGTCAATCGCCTTCCCAGTGTGAGCAATCGTTGGCGACGTCTTCCCACCTATCGATGTGCATCTTCAAACTTCTCTTTTCCTCCTCTCTTTTTCCAGCCCTCGGTGTCTATCGCCTTCCCAGTGTGAGCAATCGTTGGCGACGTCTTCCCACCTATCGATGGCATCTTCACGTCTTTCTCCTTTCTCCCATTTCCAGATCGGTGCGATGTCTTTCAATCATCTTCGCCTTCCTCTCTCCTTTTTTCCAGCCCTTGAAATCGTTCCCAGTGTGACAGTCGTTGGCGACGTCTTCCCTATCGATGTGCATATTCAAACTTTTTTCTCACCATTTTCCAGCGGTGTCAATCACCTTCCCAGTGTGAGCAATCGTTGGCGACGTCTTCCCACCTATCGATGCATCTTCAAACTTCTCTTTCCTCTCCTTTTTCCAGCCCTCGGTGTCAATCCCTTCCCAGTGTGAGCAATCGTTGGCAACGTCTTCCCTATCGATATGCATCTTAAACTTCCTCTTCTCCTATCCTTCCAGCCCTCGGTGTCAATCTCCTTCCAGTGTGAGCAATCGTTATGAGGTCTTCCCCACCTATCGATGTGCATCTTCAAACTTCTCTTTCTCCTCTATTTTTCAGCCCTCGTTGTCAATCGCCTTCCCAGTGTGAGCAATCGTTGGCGACGTCTTCCCACCTATCGATGTGCATCTTCAAACTTCCCTTTTCTCTCCTTTCCAGCCCTCTTTTCGCCTTCCAGCCCAATCGGTGTCTTCCCACCTATCGATGTGCATCCCCAAACTTCTCCTTTCTCCTCTTTTTTCCACCCTCGTTGTCTATCCCCTTCCCAGTGTGAGCAATCGTTGGCGACGCCTTCCCACCCATCGATGTGCATCTTCAAACTTCTCTTTCTCCTCTCCTTTTTCCAGCCCTCGGTGTCAATCGCCTTCCCAGTGTGAGCAATCGTTGGCGACGTCTTCCCACCCATATTCGAACTGTTTCTCCCTCTATTTTTCAGCCCTCGGTGCCTATCTGTGAGCAACGTTTCCCACCCATCGATCTCTTTTCTCCTCTCCTTTTTCCAGCCCTCGGTGTCAATCGATTTCCCAGTGTGAGCAATCGTTGGCGACGTTTTCCCACCTATCGATGTGCATCTTCAAACTTCTCTTTCTCCTCTCTTTTTCCAGCCCTCGTTGTCAATCACCTTTTAGTGTGAGCAATCGTTGGCGACGTCTTCCCACCTATCGATGCATCTTCAAACTTCTCTTTCTCCTCTCAGCTTTTTCCAGCCCCCGTTGTCAATCGCCTTCCCCAGTGTGAGCAATCGTTGGCGACGTTTTCCCACCTATCGATGTCTTCCCAGCAATCTTCGAACTTCTTTTCAACTCTCCTTTTCCAGCCTCCTCGGTGTTGTATCGCCTTCCCAGTGTGAGCAATCGTTGGCGACGTCTTCCCACCTATCGATGTGCTTAAAAACTTCAAACTCCTCTCCTTCCAACCCTTTCTCCGCCTCCCAGTTTTGGCGAGCCCACCCTATCGGTGTCAATCGTTTTTTTTTCAGCCCTCGAAGAGCAATCGTCATGGCGACGTCTTCCCACCTATCGATGTGCATCTTCAAACTTCTCTTTCTCCTCCTTTTTTCCAGCCCTCGGTCTGTCAATCCTTCCCATTTTGAGCAATCGTTGGCGACGTTTTCCCTATCGATGTGTCAAACTTCTCTTTCTCCTCTCCTTTTTCCAGTGTCAATCACCTTCCCAGTGTGAGCAATCATTGGACGTCTTCCCACCTATCGATGTGCATCTTCAAACTTCTCTTTCTCTTCTCCTTTTTCCAGCCCTCGGTGTCCTCGCCTTCCCAGTGTGAGCAATCGTTGGCGACGTCTTCCCACCTATCGATGTGCATCTTCAAACTTCACTTTCTCCTCTCCTTTTCCAGCCCTCGGTGTCAATCGTCTTCCCAGTGTGAGCAATCGTTGGCGACGTCTTCCCACCCATCGATGTGCATCTTCAAACTTCTCTTTCTCCTCTCCTTTTTCCAGCCTCGTTGTCAATCTCGCTTCCAGTTCCGTTGGCGACCCTTCCCACCTATCGATGCATCATCAAACTTCTCTTTCTTCCTCTCCTTTCCTCGCCTTCCCAGTGTGAGCAATCGTTGGCGACGTCTTCCCCACCTATCGATGTGCATCTTCAAACTTCTCTTTCTCCTCTCATTTTTCCAGCCCTCGGTGTCAATCGCCTTCCCAGTTTGAGCAATCGTTGGCGACGTCTCTTCCCACCTATCGATGTGCATCTTAGCAAACTTCTCATTTCTCCTCCCTTTTTCCAGCCCTCGGTGTCTATCGCCTTCCCAGTGTGAGCAATCGTTGGCGACGTCTTCCCACCTATCGATGTGCATCTTCAAACTTCTCTTTTCTCCTCTCCTTTTTTCCAGCCCTCGGTGTCAATCGCCTTCCCAGTTTGAGCAATCGTTGTCGTCTTCCCACCCATCGATGTGCATCTTTAAACTTCTCTTTCTCCTCTCCTTTTTCCAGTCCTCGGTGTCAATCCAATCATTGGCGACGTCTTCCCAGTGTGAGCTTCGCTTTCTCCTGCTTTTTAATCGTCTTGGCGACGTCTTCCCACCCATCGATGTGCATCTTCAAACTTCTCTTCTCCTCTCTATTTCCAGGCCCTCGGTGTCAATCGCCTTTCCCAGTGTGAGCAATCGTTGTCGACGTCTTTCCACCTATCGATCAACCTTCCCAGTGCATCTTCAAACTTCGATCTTTCTCCTCTCCTTTTTCCAGCCCCTCGGTGTCAATCGCTTTCCCAGTGTGAGCAATCGTTGGCGATGCCTTCCCACCTATCGATGTGCATCTTCAAACTTTTCTTACTCCTCTCTATTTCCAGCCCTTGGTGTCAATCGCCTTCCCAGTGTGAGCAATCGTTGGCGACGTCTTTCCACCTATCGATGTGCATCTTCAAACTTCTCTTTCTCCTCTCCTTTTTCCAGCCTCGGTGACAATCGCCTTCCAGTTTGAGCAATCGTTGGCGACGTCTTCCCCTCCTCCTCTCCTATCGATGTGCATCTTCAAACTTCTCTTTCCCTTTCTCCTCTTTTTCCAGGCGGTGTCAATCGGTGTCAATCACCTTCCCAGTTCTGAGCAATCGTTGGCGACGTCTTCCCACCTATCGATGTGCATCTTCGAACTTCGCTTTCTCCACTCCTTTTTCCAGCCCTCGGTGTCTATCGCCTTCCCAGTGTGAGCAATCGTTGGCGACGTCTTCCCACCTATCGATGTGCATCTTCAAACTTCTCTTTCTCCTCTCCTTTTTCCAGCCCTCGGTGTCAATCGCCTTCCCAGTGTGAGCAATCGTTGGCGACGTCTTCCCACCTATCGATGTGCATCTTCAAACTTCTCTTTCTCTATCCTTTTCCAGCCCTCGGTGTCAATCACCTTCCCAGTGTGAGCAATCGTTGGCGACGTCTTCCCACCTATCGATGTGCATCTTCAAACTTCTCTTTTCTCCTCTCTTTTCCAGCCCTCGTTGTCAATCACCTTCCCAGTGTGAGCAATCGTTGGCGACGTCTTCCCACCTATCGATGTGCATCTTCAAACTTCAAACTTTTTCCTCTCCTTTTCCAGCCCTCGGTGTCTATCGCCTTCCCAGTGTGAGCAATCGTTGGCGACGTCTTCCCACCTATCGATGTGCATCTTCAAACTTCTTTCTCCTCTCCTTTTTTCCAGCCCTCGGTGTCAATCGCCTTTCCAGTGTGAGCAATCGTTGGCGACGTCTTTCCACCTATCGATGTGCATCTTCAAACTTCTCTCCCTCTCCTTTCCAGCCCTCGTGAGGCAAACATTGACAACCTTTCCCTATCGTGTGAGGAAACTTCGTTCCTTTTCCAGCCCTCGGTCGACGTTCCCAGTTCCCACCTATCGATGTGCATCTTCAAACTTCTCTTTTCTCCTCTCCTTTTTCCAGTCCTCGTTGTCAATCACCTTCCCAGTGTGAGCAATCGTTGTGACGTCTTCCCACCTATCGATGTTGCATCTTCAAACTTCTCTTTTACTCTCCTTTTTCCAGCCCTCGGTGTCTATCGCCTTCCCAGTGTGAGCAATCGTTGGCGAGGTCTTCCCACCTATCGATGTGCATCTTCAAACTTCTCTTTCTCCTCTCCTTTTTCCAGCCCTCGGTGCCTATCGCCTTCCCAGTGTGAGCAATCGTTGGCGACGTCTTCCCACCTATTGATGTGCATCTTCAAACTTCTCTTTCTCCTCTCCTTTTTCCAGCCGTCTGTGTCAATCGCTTTCCCAGTGTGAGCAATCGTTGGCGATGCCTTCCCACCTATCGATGTGCATCTTCAAACTTCTCTTTCTCCTCTCCTTTTTCCAGCCCTCGGTGTCAATCGCCTTCCCAGTGTGAGCAATCGTTGGCGACGCCTTCCCACCTATCGATGTGCATCTTCAAACTTCTCTTTCTCCTCTCATTTTTCCAGCCCTCGTTGTCAATCACCTTCCCAGTGTGAGCAATCATTGGCGACGTCTTCCCACCTATCGATGTGCATCTTCAAACTTCTCTTTCTCCTCTCCTTTTTCCAGCTCTCGGTGACTATCGCCTTCCCAGTGTGAGCAATCGTTGGCGACGTCTTCCCACCTATCGATGTGCATCTTCAAACTTCTCTTTCTCCTCTCCTTTTCCAGCCCTCGTTGTCAATCGTCTTCCCAGTTTGAGCAATCGTTGGCGACGTCTTCCACTATCGATGTGCATCTTCAAACTTCTCTTTCTCTCTCCTTTTCCCGCCCTCGGTGTCAATCGCCTTCCCAGTGTGAGCAATCGTTGGCGACGTCTTCCCACCTATCGATGTGCATCTTCAAACTTCGCTTTCTCCACTCCTTTTTCCAGCCCTCGGTGTCTATCGCCTTCCCAGTGTGAGCAATCTTTGGCGACGTCTTCCCACCTATCGATGTGCATCTTCAAACTTCTCTTTCTCCTCTCTCCTTTTTCCAGCCCTCGTTCCAATCGTTGGCGACGTCTCCCAGTTTTCCAGCAATCGTTGGCGACGTCTTCCCATCGATGTCAAACTTCTCTTTCCTCTCTTTTTCCAGCCTCGGTGTCAATTCCAGTGTGAGCAATCGTTGGCGACGTCTTCCCACCTATCGATGTGCATCTTCAAACTTCTTTCTCCTCTCCTTTTTCCAGCCCTCGTGTCAATCACCTTCCCAGTGTGAGCAATCGTTGGCGACGTCTTCCCACCTATCGATGTGCATCTTCAAACTTCTTTTCTCCTCCTTTTTCCAGGCTCAGTGTCAATCGCCTTCCCAGTGTGAGCAATCGTTGGCGACGTCTTCCCACCTATCGATGTGCATCTTCAAACTTCTCTTTCTCCTCTCCTTTTTCCAGCCCTCGGTGTCAATCTACCCACCTATCGATGTGCATCTTCAAACTTTTCCCTCTCCTTTTTCCAGTCGTGTGAGCAATCGTTGGCGACGTCTTCCCACCTATCGATGTGCATCTTCAAACTTCTCTTTCTCCTCTCCTTTTTCCAGGCTCGGTGTCAATCGCCTTCCCAGTGTGAGCTTCAATCGTTGTCGACGTCTTCCCACCTATCGATGTGCATCTTCAAACTTCTCTTCTCCTCTCCTTTTTCCAGGCTCGGTGTCAATCACCTTCCCAGTGTGAGCAATCGTTGGCGACGTCTTCCCACCTATCGATGTGCATCTTCAAACTTCTCTTTCTCCTCTCCTTTTTCCAGGCTCGGTGTCAATCGCCACCCAGTGTGAGCAATCGTTGTCGACGTCTTCCCACTTATCGATGTGCATCTTCAAACTTCTCTTCCCTTCTCCTTTTTCCAGCCCTCGGTGTCAATCACCTTCCCAGTTTGAGCAATCGTTGGCGACGTCTTCCACCTATCGATGTGCATCTTCAAACTTCGATCTTTCTCCTTTTTTCCAGGCCTCGGTGTCTATTGCCTTCCCAGTGTGAGCAATCGTTGGCGACGTCTTCCCACCCTATCGATGTGCATCTTCAAACTTCTTCTTTCTCCTCTCTTCTTTTCCAGGCTCGGTGTCAATCGCCTTCCCAGTTTGAGCAATCGTTGGCGACGTCTTCCCACCTATCGATGTGCATCTTCAAACTTCTCTTTCTCCTCTCCTTTTTCCAGGCTCGGTGTCAATCACCTTCCCAGTGTCAGCAATCGTTTTACTCTCCACCAGCGACGTCTTCCCACCTATCGATGTGCATCTTCAAACTTCTCTTTCTCCTCTCTTTTTCCAGGTGTCTCGCCTTCCAGTGTGAGCAATCGTTGGCGACCTTCCCACCTATCGATGTGCATCTTCAATTCGTCGGTGTCAATCGACGTCTTGGCCCACCTATCGATGTGCATCTTCAAACTTCTCTTTCTCCTCTCCTTTTCCAGCCCTCGGTGTCAATCGCCTTCCCAGTGTGAGCAATCGTTGGCGACGTCTTCCCACCCATCGATGTGCATCTTCAAACTTCCCTTTCTCCTCTCCTTTTTCCAGCCCTCGGTGTCAATCGCCTTCCCAGTGTGAGCAATCGTTGGCATCTTCACGTCTTCCCACCTCGGTGTCTATCGATGTGCATCTTCAAACTTCTCTTTCTCCTCTCCTTTTTCCAGCCCTCGGTGTCTATCGCCTTCCCAGTGTGAGCAATCGTTGGCGACGTCTTCCCACCTATCGATGTGCATCTTCAAACTTCTCTTTCTCCTCTCCTTTTTCCAGTCCTCGTTGTCAATCACCTTCCCAGTGTGAGCAATCGTTGGCGACGTCTTCTCACCTATCGATGTGCATCTTCTAACTTCTTTTCTCCTCTCCTTTTCCAGGCCTCGGTGTCAATCACCTTCCCAGTGTGAGCAATCGTTGGCGACGTCTTTCCACCTATCGATGTGCATCTTCAAACTTCTCTTTCTCCTCTCCTTTTCCAGCCCTCGGTGTCAATCAATCGTTCCCCCAGCGACGTCGTTGTCGACTCCTCTCCCCACCTATCGATGTGCATCTTCAAACTTCTCTTGCATCTCCTTCTCCTTTTTTCCAGGCCTCGGTGTCAATCGCCTTCCCAGTGTGAGCAATCGTTGGCGACGTCTTCCCACCTATCGATGTGCATCTTCAAACTTCTCTTTCTCCTCTCCTTTTCCAGGCCTCGGTGTCAATCGCCTTCCCAGTGTGAGCAATCGTTGACGTCGACGTCTTTCCACCTCGTTGGCGATCGATGTGCATCTTCAAACTTTTCTTCGACTTTTCTCCTCTTTCTTTCCAGCCCTCGGTGTCAATCACCTTCCCAGTGTGAGCAATCGTTGGCGACGTCTTCCCACCTATCGATGTGCATCTTCAAACTTCTCTTTCTCCTCTCCCTTTTTCCAGCCCTCGGTGTTCCAATCGCTTTCCCCAGTGTGAGCAATCGTTGGCGACGTCTTCCCACCTATCGATGTGCATCTTCAAACTTCTCTTCTCCTCTCCTTTTTCCAGCCTCGGTGTCAATCGCCTTCCTAGTGTGAGCAATCGTTGGCGACGTCTTCCCACCTATCGATGTGCATCTTCAAACTTCTTTTTCTCCTCTCCTTTTCCAGCCCTCGGTGTCAATCGCCTTCCCAGTGAGCAATCATTTGGCGACGTCTTCCCCCCAATCGATGTGCATCTTCAAACTTCTCTTTTCTCCTCCTTTTTCCAGGCTCGTTGTCAATCCCGCTTTCCCAGTGTGAGCAATCGTTGGCGACGTCTTCCCACCTATCGATGTGCATCTTCAAACTTTTCTTTCTTCTCTTTTCTCCTTTTTTCCAGGCTCGGTGTCAATCACCTTCCTGTCAGTGTGAGCAATCGTTGGCGACGTCTTCCCACCTATTCGATGTGCATCTTCAAACTTGGCGACGTTTTTCTCCTCTTGTCTTCCCAGGTTCGTTGGCAGACCTCGGTGTCAAACTTCTCTTTCTCCTCCTTTTCCAGGCCCTCAGTGTCAATCGTGTGAGCAATCGTTGGCGACGTCTTCCACCTATCGATGTGCATCTTCAAACTTCTCTTTCTCCTCCCTTTTCCAGCCCTCGGTGTCAATCGCCTTCCCAGTGTGAGCAATCGTTGGCGACGTCTTCCCACCTGTCGATGTGCATCTTCAAACTTCTCTTTCTCCTCTCCTTTTCCAGTCCTCGGTGTCAATCCTCCTTCCCAGTGTGAGCAATCGTTGGCGACGTCTTCCCACCTATCGATGTGCATCTTCAAACTTCTCTTTCTCCTCTCCTTTTTCCAGGCTCAGTGTCAATCGCCACCCAGTGCAGCAATCGTTGGCGACGTCTTCCCACCTATCGATGTGCATCTTCAAACTTCTCTTTCTCCTCTCCTTTTTCCAGCCCTCGTTGTCAATCACCTTCCCAGTGTGAGCAATCGTTGGCGACGTCTTCCCACCTATCGATGTGCATCTTCAAACTTCTCTTTCTCCTCTCCTTTTTCCAGGCTCGGTGTCAATCGCCACCTTCCAATCGTTGTGAGCTTCCCCATCGTTGGCGACGTCTCTTTCTCCCACCTATCGATGTGTCATCTTCAAACTTTGGCGACGTCTCTTTCTCCTTCTTTCCTTTTTTTCCAGCCTCGGTGTCAATCGCCTTCCCAGTGTGAGCAATCGTTGGCGACGTCTTCTCCCCTATCGATGTGCATCTTCAAACTTCTCTTTATCCTCTCCTTTTCCAGCCCTCGGTGTCAATCGTCTTCCCAGTGAGCAATCGTTGGCGACGTCTTCCCACCCATCGATGTGCATCTTCAAACTTTTCTTTCTCGTCTCCTTTTTCCAGGCTCTTTGTCAATCAACTTCCCAGTGTGAGCAATCGTTGGCGACGTCTTCCCACCCATTCGATGTGCATCTTCAAACTTTTCTTTCTCCTCTCCTTTTTCCAGCCCTCGGTGTCAATCGCCTTCCCAGTGTGAGCAATCGTTGGCGACGTCTTCCCACCTATCGATGTGCATCTTCAAACTTCTCTTTCTCCTCTCCTTTTTCCAGGGCTCAGTCAATCGCCTTCCAGTGTGAGCAATCGTTGGCAACGTCTTCCCACCTATCGATGTGCATCTTCAAACTTCTCTCTCCTCTCCTTTTTCCAGGCCTCGGTGTCAATCGCCTTCCCAGTGTGAGCAATCGTTGGCGACGTCTTCCCACCTATCGATGTGCATCTTCAAACTTTTCTTTCTCCTCTCCTTTTCCAGGCCTCGGTGTCAATCACCTTCCCAGTGTGAGCAATCTTTGGCGACGTCTTCCCACCTATCGATGTGCATCTTCAAACTTCTCTTTCTCCTCTTTTTTCCAGTTCTCGTTGTCAATCCCTTTCCAGTGTGAGCAATCGTTGGCGACGTCTTCCCACCTATCGATGTGCATCTTCAAACTTCTCTTTCTCCTCTCCTTTTTCCAGGCCTCGGTGTCAATCACCTCAATCGTTGGCGACGTCTTCCCACCTATCGAGCAAAACTCGTTGTCGAATCGTCTTCCCACCTATCGATCGTTGCATCTTCAAATCTTTCTTTTCTCCTCTCCTTTTTCCAGCCTCGGTGTCAATCGCCTTCCCAGTGTGAGCAATCGTTGGCGACGTCTTCCCACCTATCGATGTGCATCTTCAAACTTCTCTTTCTCCCTTCCAGCCTTTTCCAGCCCTTCGGTGTCAATCGCCGTCTTCCCAGTGTGAGCAATCGTTTGGCGACCTCTTCCCACCTATCGATGTGCATCTTCAAACTTCTCTTTCTCTTCTCTTCTTTTCCAGCCCTCGGTGTCAATCGCCTTTCCCAGTGTGAGCAATCGTTGGCGACGTCTTCCCACCCATCGATGTGCATCTTCAAACTTCTCTTTCCTTCTCCTTTTCCAGCCTCTCGTTGTCAATCGCCTTCCCAGTGTGAGCAATCGTTGGCGACGTCTTCCCACCTATCGCTGTGCATCTTCAAACTTCTCTTTCTCCTCTCCTTTTTCCAGCCCTCGGTGTCAATCGCCTTCCCAGTGTGAGCAATCGTTGGCGACGTCTTTCCACCTATCGATGTGCATCTTCAAACTTCTCTTTCTCCTCTCCTTTTCCAGCCCTCGGTGTCAATCGCCTTCCCAGTGTGAGCAATCGTTGTCGACGTCTTCCCACCTATCGATGTGCATCTTCAAACTTCTTTCTCCTCTCCTTTTCCAGCCCTCGGTGTCAATCGCCTTCCCAGTGTGAGCAATCGTTGGCGACGTCTTCCCACCACCCATCGATGTGCATCTTCAAACTTCTCTTTCTCCTCTCCTTTTCCAGCCCTCGGTGTCAATCGCCTTCCCAGTGTGAGCAATCGTTGGCGACGTCTTCCCACCCATCGATGTGCATCTTCAAACTTCTCTTTCTCCTCTCCTTTTCCAGCCCTCGTTGTCAATCGCCTTCCCAGTGTGAGCAATCGTTGGCGACGTCTTCCCACCCTATCGATGTGCATCTTCAAACTTCTCTTTCTCCTCTCCTTTTTCCAGGCTCGGTGTCAATCGCCACCCAGTGTGAGCAATCGTTGTCGACGTCTTCCCACCTATCGATGTGCATCTTCAAACTTCTCTTTCTCCTCTCCTTTTTCCAGGCTCGGTGTCAATCGCCACCCAGTGTGAGCAATCGTTGGCGACGTCTTCCCACCTATCGATGTGCATCTTCAAACTTCTTTTCTCCTCCTTTTTCCAGCCCTCGTCCCTTCCCAGTGTGAGCAATCGTTGGCGACGTCTTCCCACCCATCGATGTGCATCTTCAAACTTCTCTTTCTCCTCTCCTTTTCCAGGCCTCGGTGTCAATCACCTTCCCAGTGTGAGCAATCGTTGGCGACGTCTTCCCACCTATCGATGTGCATCTTCAAACTTCTCTTTCTCCTCTCCTTTTCCAGGCTCGTGAGCAATCGTCAATATCGACCTTCCTTATCTTTCTCCTCTCTTTTTCCAGTTTGAGCAATCGTTGGCGACGTCTTCCCAACTATCGATGTGCATCTTCAAAAATCTCTTTCTCCTCTCCTTTTTCCAGGCTCGGTGTCCAATCACCTTCCCAGTGTGAGCAATCGTTGGCGACGTCTTCCCACCTATCGATGTGCATCTTCAAACTTCTCTTTCTCCTCTCCTTTTTCCAGGCTCGGTGTCAATCACCTTCCCAGTGTGAGCAATCGTTGGCGACGTCTTCCCACCTATCGATGTGCATCTTCAAACTTCTCTTTCTCCTCTCCTTTTTCCAGCCCTCGGTGTCAATCGCCTTCCCAGTGTGAGCAATCGTTGGCGACGTCTTCCCACCTATCGATGTGCATCTTCAAACTTCTCTTTCTCCTCTCCTTTTTTCCAGCCTCGGTGTCAATCGCCTTCCCAGTGTGAGCAATCGTTGGCGACGTCTTCCCACCCATCGATGTGCATCTTCAAACTTCTCTTTCTCCTCTCCTTTTCCAGCCCCTCGGTGTCAATCGCCTTCCCAGTGTGAGCAATCGTTGGCGACGTCTTCCCACCTATCGATGTGCATCTTCAAACTTTTCTTTCTCCTCTGTCTTTTTCCAGCCTGCGGTGTCAATCGTTCCGTCGATGTGTCAATCCTCTTCCCAGTGTGAGCCCTCGTTGCCTATCGTTGGTGTGATGCCTTCCCACCCATCGATGTGCATCTTCAAACTTCTTTCTCTCTCCTTTTTCCCTCTCTTTTCCAGCCTTCCCACCTCGGTGTCTTCAATTTTCCTCCTCTCCAGTGTGAGCAATCGTTGGCGACGTCTTCCCACCTATCGATGTGCATCTTCAAACTTCACTTTCTCCACTCCTTTTTCCAGCCCTCGGTGTCTATCGCCTTCCCAGTGTGAGCAATCTTTGGCGACGTCTTCCCACCTATCGATGTGCATCTTCAAACTTCTCTTTCTCCTCTGCTTTTTCCAGTCCTCGTTGTCAATCCCTTTCCCAGTGTGAGCAATCGTTGGCGACGTCTTTCCACCTATCGATGTGCATCTTCAAACTTCTCTTTCTCCTCTCCTTTTTCCAGGCTCGGTGTCAATCGCCACCCAGTGTGAGCAATCGTTGTCGACGTCTTCCCACCTATCGATGTGCATCTTCAAACTTCTCTTTCTCCTCTCCTTTTTCCAGCCCTCGGTGTCAATCACCTTCCCAGTGTGAGCAATCGTTGGCGACGTCTTCCCACCTATCGATGCATCTTCAAACTTCTCTTTCTTTTCCAGGCTCTCCTTTTTCCAGGCTCGGTGTCAATCGCCTTCCCAGTGTGAGCAATCGTTGTCGACGTCTTCCCACTTATCGATGTGCATCTTCAAACTTCTCTTTCTCCTCTCCTTTTTCCAGCCCTCGGTGTCAATCGTCTTCCTAGTTTGAGCCATCGTTGGCGACGTCTTCCCACTTATCGGTGTGCATCTTCAAACTTTTCTTTCTCCTCTCCTTTTTCCAGCCTGCGGTGTCAATTGCCTTCCCAGTGTGAGCAAACTTTGGCGACGTCTTCTCCCCAATCGATGTGCATCTTCAAACTTCTCTTTATCCTCTCCTTTTTCCAGCCCTCGTTGTCAATCGTCTTCCCAGTTTGAGCAATCGTTGGCGACGTCTTCCCACTTATCGATGTGCATCTTCAAACTTTTCTTTCTCGTCTCCTTTTTCCAGCCTGCTTTGTCAATTGCCTTCCCACTGTCAGCAATCGTTGGCGACGTCTTCTCACCATTCAATGTGCATCTTCACAATTTTCTTTCTCCTCTCCTTTTTCCAGCCCTCGGTGTCAATCGCCTTCACAGTGTGAGCAATTGTTGGCGACGTCTTCCCACTTATCGATGTGCATCTACAAACTTCTCTTTCTCCTCTCCTTCTTCCAGACCTCGGTCTCAATCGCTTTCCCAGTGTAAGCAATCGTTGGCAACGTCTTCTCACCTATCGATGTGCATCTTCAAACTTCTGCTTCTCCTCTCCTTTTTCCAGCCCTCGGTGTCAATCGCCTTCCCAGTGTGAGCAGTCGTTGGCGACGTCTTCTGACCTATCGATGTGCATCTTCAATCTTCTCTTTCTCCTGTAAATCGAATCTCGGCCACCAGAATGAAGCGTGATCGACAGAAATTTAAGTACTTTGCGACATCGTGGGTGAGCCTCTTCACATGCTTTCGTTGCAATCGAAACTGCCATAACAGATGCAACGAGGGCGTCAGCAGCTGAAGCATAACTATCTAGGCAAATATCCGTGTTATCTCGTGACCGGCGGGTACCTCATTATACAATCCAGTATTTTTATACGTATCTCGATCATTTTATATTTATCTATGGCAGTTTGTTCTTACCTATCAATTTAATTATCTAATTTACTTTGTTCAAAATCACACACACATACATACATATATATATATATATATATATATATATATATATAGAGAGAGAGAGAGAGAGAGGTAGATAGATATAATATTACCTTATTCTGCTGAATGTATCAAATCCAACGTGTCTATATCTATCTAGCTATCTATCTCTATTCATATCTATATATATATATATATATATATCTCAGTCTAATTATGATCTGTGTATCTATCGATCTCTCTATTTCTCTGTCACAGCCTCCTATCTATCTATCTATCTATCTATCTATCTATCTATCTATCTCAATCTTTTCATAATCTATCTATTTATGATCTTCGCTTCGAGGATATCTGGAAAAGCGACATGAGGTTGATGGACATGGACATCGAGAGGAGGGAGGACGTCGCCGACGATAATCACACACTGGAGACGCGATTTACACCGAGAGCCGGCGTGAGGAGAGGAGAAACGGAGGCTTGCCACCGGCGTGAAAAACATGCTCGAAAGAAATGAAAACATCACGTCGACATCAGGGTAGAACGCCCTCCAGTGCACTCATTGAACCACCTCTCAATTGCTTTTGTTCCCAGATCCACCCTGACCGGGAGGGGTAGCATCTGTTAGGGTTCCAGTTATGGGCAAATAGCAACCCCCCCAATTAAAAACAAAACAATATGAACCTTTACATATACTTTTTTACAAAAAGCTACAAGTGAGAGGATGTTATGGAGAGCCATGATCGCCTACATCCTAATGGAACATGGCACATAAAGAAGAAGAATCCAGGACTTATACTGGGCGCAAACCGTTTGCATGCTGATAAAAAATGAATTGAGTAGCTATACAAAAATATGGGCGTGAGACAAGGATGCGTCTTCTCTCCGGATGCGACCCTATCCTAAGGAAACTGGAGACTCTACCAGGGTTTGTTAACAATATAAGACACGGTATTGATGGCCGACACAGAAATAAATCTCCGAGACAAGGTGGTAGAAGAAAACAAGAAAAAAGGACTAACTATCAACTGTAAGAAGACAGAGATTTTGGTCAGCAGCAAGAGAAAAAGTTCAGGACGAGAGTTATAAATTGAAGGTGTCAACATCAAGCAGGTGCAGAAGTTTAAATACCTGGAAAGTGAGTGGAAAATGCGGTATCGAGATCCGAAGTACGCATTGAACGAACGAAAGAAGCATTCGAAAGGCTGAGCGAAGTGCTTGAGAAACAAAGAAAAGAGTGCTGGATTGTCAGGTGATATCCATCCGGTTGTATGGCAAGGAATGCAGTGCACAGATCTTTCGAAACCGACGAATGCCATATATATATATATATATATATATATATATATATATATATATATATATATATACATTATGATAAAGAGAAAGTACAGTAAGATATATAATCCGGTGTTCTTATTAATTATTTTTATTTTTAAAAACCAGTGCTCAATGCAAATCAAACAAATTTCTGTCGTTGATAAAAACCATGCGATAAACGGATGTCATCATTCGTTGAACAGGCACCCCTACTATGACTTAACTCAACCTCTTTTCGAAAGTAACTCATATTTTGATACAATAGTTGTCAGTGAAAATGAATACCCTACCACCCCTTGTCAAAATGATTGAATTTCTTCGTATCCTTAGAAACTAATATTATGAATTTATGTGCTTATAAAACTCTGTAAATTTCAAAAATTCGCTTGAAAATGAAACGGGACTAAGGAACTTAATTTGATTCTATAATTAGATTTGAAGTTTTTAGTTTCTGTTTTTGAAACATGGTAATTCCTGTGTAGAGATGGAACCATATATTTAAATTGGTAAATTTATAATATATATATATATATATATATATATATATATATATATATATATGTTGAAACTTGACTAAAGCATGGAATAATAATGCAACACAAAATGTACTTAGAACAAAATGTATTGAAACAAGAAAGTGTACACAATATTTACATATAGTCTTTTGTATATTCTTGGGAAGACCGTTCCTGGAGAATGTGTTGACTTAGTCGCAGTCGGGCAGAGTCTCTGGATTGAATCTCTTGATTCCTCCCCTCGTCTTCCCGGTACCAACCATATTTATATGGTCGGTACTCCACTATGCAAATTAGGTGGATCCTACCACCTCAATATATATATATATATAGTCATGCACATAGAAGCCTGTTCCGCTGTATCACAGCTTATCAGTGTAATTAGACATCCGATTGCTTCAAGCCGGGATCAAAACCCGACCGATTTGGCATATATATGTATGACATTCAAGCAAAGCGTTTTAACAAAGGATGGAAAATGCGGCATTGAAATCCACACATATATTGAACTAGTGATGAAAACATTACTAAAGCTAAACAAAATGACAAGATAATGGATAATCTGAAGGTAGTTTACTGTGAAAAGCGTCAGTTGACTTTAAAGTAAGTCAACACTTTTTAAGCTACAAGAACTGTGAATAAGCAACAAAATTATTTCCCAATCGTTCTATAACAGCATCAATAATATTCATTATGATGATGATGATTGTAAACACTTCCGGTGCCACGAGGGAATGCTGGGAGTAAACGGATCGAGCGGTAGTTTAAAGAAAATAGTTGCTGAGTCTCTTGTTGCTTTTGTGTTGCTTCAGCCTTTCAGTGTCTAGTTTCATAGATTTTGTCTTTGCACTCCAATAAATTCAACATCATTTAAGTACAGAAGTTTAAATACCTGAGAAGCCTTTTAATAGAAGATGGAAAATGTGACACCGAAATCCGAACATGCATTGGACGAGCGAAAAAGGCACTTCAAAAATTAAGTAAGG